GGTCTTCGTCTGGGATTCAAATTGGGAAAGTGGCCGGGGAACTTAGGGAGAGCGATCTCTGATCTCCAAACTCCGGCGGGTCCATTGCCAAAAAGTTCAGTGAACCCGGTTCTCAGGCCCTATTGAAAGATGCTTAGCGGTCACTCCGGCGACTCATTAAGGAAACATAACTCTAATTCTGCCATGGACACACCCGGCCGCCGGTGTCTCCTCCAGTGTCTCCTCGGCGTTTAATTATAATTTCCAGTGCTGAGAACTCCCGGTTACGTGAGCGGGCCACTAACCCCCTGCCACTTGGCCAGAATTTTTTTTTTCACGAACCATCCCCACCCCTTTGGAGACCTTTGTGTGTCCAAGTGTGGGTCGTTCGTCGCGGTCAACGTGCGGTAGCCAACACTTGGAGAAAAGTATTTCTATTTGATTAGGAAAATTTACGCATGAAATCTATTTTTTCAATGTTATTTTATCGAAAAAGAAGAGCATATTGTAAGCCCGAAAGGTAAAGTTCTTAAAAGGAGTTTTTATATAAATGATGATCTTAATTTATAACCAAGGAGAAACTTAGACACTTTAACCTAAAATTAAGGTTTTTGAAACCCTAATTCATAACATATTAAATTTGAATATACTTTTTTGCTAAAAACCCCTTGCCAAAATATTAAATAAACTAAATAAAGTCTCAACTTTTTGTTTTAATTTTCCCTCTGTGCACTTTTATCTAATCATCTGCGAGGGGACCGAAGACCTCTCCCGAACCAAGCAGGCGCTATAAAAGTTATGAATAATCTGCTTAATTTAGGGTCCCAGTCCCGGTGCCTGGTCGCTTCTGTTTATTGTTTTATTCAACCCGAAATGAAGTAGCGGCAGTTAAACTCGCGTCAAGTGCTCGGTTCTATTCTCCGCAGCTCTGCTCTCTGAACCAAACCGATCTGTTCTTTCTTTCAATTCCAGCTCCATCTCCAACTATAATTCCATTTCCATTTCCATTCTTCTTGGAGCCGCAGATGGGGCGGTGTACGCATAATGGCAGCTGCTTAGATATTAAAATAAATCACCGACTAAACTGGGGACAATAAATCTGGGTAGTTGGGCTTTAAAGTGCCTGCCTGTCTCTCTCAGATTGGGATAGGACCAATTTTATTGGAACTATGAGAATGGAAAGACTTTAGATCGGATCCACTTTTATGATCACATCTCCTTGAGTGGTAAATAGTCACGATCCTGCAGCGGGGTCAGTGCCATATCTCATCGTTACTTAGCCACTTAACTTGGGGAATTGGCATTTCCCGCATCCTTTATTAACACAGCCATTCTGCATCTTATTAGTGGGGCAAGGAATACCCAGAGATCCACTTCTGGTCAGTTTTATGGATCCTGGAGGGGTGAGTTGTCAGTGCTGCCTATTTATCGGTATTTGTGAGTGATGTGTTCTAGGTTTTAGGTCTTAGCTGATCATTATTTTTAAATTATAAATATTTGAAAAACTAATATTATTCTTCTGTATTTATCAATTCAAAATTATGAATTCATTATTATATTTAATTGTAGGATTGCCTTACATACAATATTCCCTCCTAAGAAAATATTTAATATCATAAATACAGAATTCTTAATATTTAATATTCTTCTTTTCAATGTAAATCTTCCCCTTTTTTCCCTGCTTTTAAACCATCTCTCTCTAGTCTCTGAAATAGGTCGTTGGCTGCTCTGGAGGCCATACCATTTTGGGTTTTTCGCCAATTCCTAGAAGGGCATGGCCAGGCCGAGTAATGAGAATTGAGGAATTGCCGCTGGCTGGCTGCATTTTGAAGACACTTAAAAAGGCTCGGGTTTTTCGTTATTTTTTTTTTTTTAGTTCTTGCCACATTTTGATTGCATCAATAAAAAAGTCAACGCTGTGTCCGCTGGTTCTTTAATGAGCGCAGCGTTGTGGCTGGTGGTGGAAAGTGCTCCGCAGTCCAAACTCCATGGATTGACAATGGAAATGAGGTACCAAGTGACCACTACTAGCCCAGCAGAAACTTGTGGTTTTATTTATAGCATCTCCTAAGCGTTGCCATTAAAGTTCCTCCTGCTCAGGGTCTCCGGAATGGAGGTAGGGGTTGGAATGGGATCGAGGTTTTGGCGGGCAGCCCAATGCCAATTAATTGGTGGCTGTCTTTGGCCAAACGCTGAGGATGAAAATGGGAATGAGAATGAGGATGAGGCAGCTGCTGCAGCTAGGCGATGTCTGGGAGCCTTGATGAGAGGCGCCAAAGTGCCAACACCCCATGCCCAGGAATATGGCCTTATGCTCTTACACAGAGGAAGAAAATTACAACCAATTTAAGATAATATGTATAATAATATATAAAATAATAAACTAATTAAGGAAGTTTAAGGGCATTAAAAGCTATCAGAAAACATGGAAGGAAATCAAGAACACATCGAACATTTATTTTTAATTTATTATTTTAAGTTTCCATCACTAATATATGCCCTGATGGTTCTCCCATTTTTTCTAGTGCAACATTCCTGTCAGAACTCCTCTCCCCATCCCTGTCCATCCTGTGAGCTGTACTAATTAATAATAATAAAACACACGAACGGCAAGCAGGAAGACGCGGCTTTGGCTCAGGGGTTCTGGCCAGCTCTCCTTGGTCCAGCCAAACCAAACCGAACTAAGCCAAGTTTGCGTTGCCTGCCGGCGGTTATTTTTAGACAATAAACCGAGGATGCACTCCGGCACCAGGAACGGAGCAGAGCAACAGGCAACAGCAACTAATGGTAATGAGCTGCAAGCTATTTACAGTTTGGCTGCGGCCTTGCTGCCTTCCACTCGGCCTCAAAGCCACCCATCTCCGGATCCCCGCAGCATCCATATTTATGGGCCAGCATCAATCTGACTTAATGCTTGTGCGGCTTGATTAGCATGTCGATGAGCTTGAGGAAGCTCCAAGCTCCAAACTCCAAGGCGGAGGAGCAGGTGGCTCTGGCGATGTGAGTCAGGCGGATGGAGGGGAATGGGTAATGGGGGGAGTGAGTACAACCCCCAAAACAGTCGTTGAATGGCCTTCAACGTCCTTGGCTGTACATTTTTATTGAACTTGTGTATAATTATAATTTATTTGCTTATTATCGAGTCTCGATTGTGGCTGCCGTTGTGTTGTTGCTACCACAACTCACGTTTCTGTGCTCGCCAAATATTATAATTTATGTGAATTTATAGCGATGTGAATCTCACCGAGAGCCCCCCGAGATAGACTCGTCTCTGTCTCTGGAGCCCCGGCAACGTCTACGTCTATTAGCAAACAATTTGTATTGTCTAAGAGTTAATCATTTATAGCGTCATCGATTTATTTATAAACAATATTATTAACGCCTTAGCATATTATTTCATTTATTATGTAAAAATGCGTTTTATGTTAATTTCAATTGTTTGTTTACCATCGTTTTTTATTTAGATTTTTTTTTTTTTGGTTAATGTTATAAACAAAAACTAGTTATCTGTGCGTTCTAAGAAGTTATTTTTGACACCAAGAAGCTCACAAATATTGGTCAAATTTAAAGCCAGAGAAAAACAAAGTATTTACATATAAATTGTTACTGGTTTTTTGGCAACTTTTTGCTTATTAAAGTAAAATGAATTCTCAATAAGTTAGTCATCAGTTTAATACAATAAAAACTACCATCTTGATTAATTTTAAATGGTTATGAAGATTTAATTATTATTGTTTGCGCTGGAAAGCCAGTCTACAAATATGGTTATATTATTTCAATACATACATTGACCTGAGACCTCTCCTAGTAATAATACTTAAAAACATGTAGCACATTTTACATTAAATATAATTAAAATAAAAATAACAATAAAAGTCAAAAACTAAAATATTTAACCAGTTAAGATCTAAGACAAATTTCTTCTAAAATCTTTATATTATTCCTTGGCATAGGCATACCTTTCCCATTACTGACTGGGCCCAGTCAGATGGCCCCCGGACAGGTAAGATAGGCAAATCAACATGCAAAACAATGCAGTATTCGAAAATGATTTAAATAAAGTAAAACGTAAATTCGGAGAAGAGCCCGAAAAAGACTTGAAAAAGACTTTGTGCTGATTCTGGCCCAGCAAAAATCAAAAAGTCATCATTTGCCACGCGAAACCGAATCGCGCGATCCGCGAGCCTCACTCTGAGTGTGAGTGTGCCTAATGAGTATTCAATTGATGCAGAAAGCCAGAGACCGTCCGTCCGCGGCCATAAATGGCCATTTGAGAGACGTTACAGTTCGATCGATCGGACGTCAGATCCGAGATTCGATTAGGAGAAGAGTAGGGAGCGAAAAGTCCGGAGAACTGAACTGCGGGCACTTCACAAGATCTTTGGGGATCGAACCAAAAAAAAAAAACAAAAATTTAGAAAGAAGTGCGTCCAGGGAATCGGGGTCAATAGGAAATGAAAAGTGAAATTTTATGCCCTAAGCTCTCCGCCACGGTGTTTTTCGCCTTTTGTTGTGTACACACACAATGTGTGTTTTTTGATTTTCGATTTTCGTTTTAATTCTACTTTATTTTTTTCTACGTTTTTATAATTTTGTTTCGCGGCAAAAGGAACTTGCAATTTAAATATCATTAAATTCTGGGTTAAGCCTTTGTGCCGGCCACTTGAAAATTGCCACCGTATAATCAGTTTTTGACAGCCATCGAATCAGCCGCAAGCCAAATTGGCAACGTCTCTTCGTGGATCGCCTGCGGAAGGGTAGACATGGCGACACTCTGTCGTCGTTGTCGACTCCCAGTGGCAGTACGTACACTCAATGGCTGTTTAATCAGGTGAGAATTGTCCAGAGGTTGGCGAAAGAAGAGAAATTATTGGCCAAAATAAGAGGGTCAGAAGCTGGACAGAAATTCCCCCTGAAATGGGAACAGAAAGATCTTTGAAAATATATTTCTTAAAAATTTAAGATGGGGTAAAGTCTTTATACATTTTTAGATACTTTAAAAATTATGATTCCTTGATGTTTTATTATTTAAACAAATGAAATTTAAATTGAATACCTATACAAAATATAAATAAATTCGTGATGAATCCTCAGATCATTTTTTAAGCTTCTTAATTAGCAACTTAATAATTAGCTTAGTCCTTTTATAGACCCTTCTCCAAGGTGGCTCTCATGGTTCTTAGCATCTCCGGCAGCTGTGCCACATGGCTGTCCACACAGTCAATGGAGCAGCGTTCCAGATGGACTTCTTCATCACCGCAAAGGCGACACTGACGCATACAGCCTTCCAGGCGATTCTCGAACTCGGACAGCTCCTGCTGGACGTAGCATCGAGCTCGGGTCAAGGGTAACTGGCAGCGGTCAACGCAACGCTGCACGGTATCCGCACTGGCATCCGGATCCGAGCAGCAGGCAGTGGCACAGGCATGCATCTCGATCTGCAGGCCACGCAAATAGTCCCGATCCAGGTCGTCCATGGCATTCAGCATGGCATTATCGATTCTCTCGCGCTGCTCCTCCAGACTTGGATTGTCGTCGGTCATTATTAGAGATATTTCTATATATTTTATTATTTTTTAAGTCTACTATTTTTAATGAGAGAATATAACTCTTTGGACTACAAATACCAAGCCAGTGTGATCAGTAAAACATAACTTCAAGATGCAACATTCCGTAAGGTTTTAAATAACTTTCAAATACAACTCCCCGCCCAGGGCACCTGTCCCATGTGGTAAATAGCTGTGACGCTAAGCAATAAAACTTAATAACTATTAATTATGCATGTTTTGAGTAATTTGCAAATTCAGAAAAATAAATAAATAAATTTAAAAACTAGCCAAACGCTTGTCAATGGCCCAGCGATATAATCAATTAGCACGACTTATGCTGCACTTGGCAACTGGCACCGACGACTCCACGGATCCATGTCCAAGTGGCATGGCAAGTACTTGTATTAGCCTCCAGCGTGAATCATCCGCGGAACACAGAGTTCGTGCCAAACGAGACCTTCTGCATATTGAGACAAAAAATAAACAACAAAAAGAGTGGAGAAAAAAAAAACCCCGAAAGGCACTAAACCTTAAGTTCGTCGCAATTAAAAGGGCGAATAGAGCTCTGAGTGCGTGTACCTTTGGGCCTGGCCATTAAAGAGCCAACTGAAAATAACGAGCCAATAAAAGCATCCCACAGCCACAGGTGAGCGGACGCAGGTGGGGATTTGCTGCTAAAGGTGGCGGAGGTGCCGATTTCTGATTTCCTACGACTGATGACGCGACAAACAACTCAACGGCTTGTGTTCCTATCAAACAATTGGGTATTAATTTTAATAAATAATCACCGAGAATGGAAAAAAATAAATAATAATTCGAGTTGTTGTTGTTGCTGCGGTTTTTGCATTGAACGGTTAGATAGCCAGATGACTTGGGGAGGTTATCAACACACAACACAATGCCTTGACTCATCTCAACTCGTCTCAAACTCAACCCATCTGATCACATCTCCCGGCCGAATGGAACATGGAACGCGCTTAAAAACGTATTATGGAAGACGGAAATGAATGCCAGGAAAAAATCGTATACTATAAGTATAAGGTATACGCTTGGTAATATTATATAGAAATACGCAAATAGAAATAGAAAAAGCCATGCAAGGTAGTGGGTAAGCAGCTGCCGAAGAATAAATTAAATTTGCGTACGGAACCCGCAAGAATCTTCGCAGAAGAATCTCGGCGCTTTGATTGGTGTTGAGTTTAAATTTAAACCCTGAGCTAAGCCTCTGCGGCATGTCGACCATATAGATACAGATTCAGAGATACAGATACAAAGGTATTTCAGAGATACACCCCAAGCGAAGAGAGCCGCGAAAGGCGTTATCAGCCTGTTTACTTTCCACCTGGAGAAGCTCTGGCTTCTAGTCGCTTCTTCTCGCCTCGTCTCGTCTCGTCTCAAATTACTGACTAAAGCAAAGGCAACAGTATTACAAAAAACAATAAGAGCCAACAAATACAACACGTACCGGAATGGTTAAATAAATTTTGGCAAACAAAAAGCCAAACATTTGCCGGGCAACCGAGGAAGATGATAAATGATGCGCGTGTGCAATTCCCCGGACAAATAGTTTGACTCTTGCCCGCCGTTGTTGCCATGTTTTAATAAAGCTTAACTAATTAAACATCATCCACTCGGGCCGTGTGCGTGTCTTGGTGTAATATAATAGATTTATTAAATTTGTAGTTTGTGTTTAACAAAACACCTAAGTTCGAGCTCCATTGCACTGACGATGAGATGGTCAGGTTTTTGAACCCTCCGAAGGACGGCAGTCGAACTCAGAAGTGCTTGGTCAGATTGCATAGGCAGGGCGAGTTGTTGGTGAACAGATCCGGCAGGCTGAAGAGGTTCAGGTAGGTGGACAGGAAGGTGGCTAGCAGCCCGAAGACAAGCACTCCCATGGTGCAGGAAACGTCGCACTCCAGGCGGTGCAGCAGCCGCACCAACCGGATCCAGCAACCGCGTGGTGATATCGGCGGAGCTGTAACCAGCAGTGGTTCCATTTCCAGCTCCACGGGATCGTAGTTAAGATCTAGTGGCAGGCTGCCGTAGCTGGCTTCCGCTGCTATCCGCTGATGCACTCGCTCCATACGCCGGATGCGACGGTACAGCAAAGGCGGCAGGATAAAAACCAGAGGTCCCGTAATGGTCCCACCCACCACATCCATCAGGGCATCGAAACTGGGCACGAACTCCGCAACAAGCACCTCCAGAGCCAGCACGGAGGAGCGTATCAGCATCCGCTTGAAGGAGAGGGCTGTCAAGAAAGGACAGAAATATTTATTATCTAAAGAACCATTTAATGTGAGTTAGATTAATTACGCCAAAGAGAATATGACGGAACTTATTAAGATTCTTAAATCCAGGGATCATTAACTAAAAACTATTTATAAACAATTGGAAGTCGGTTCTCACGCTCTCGGAGGTATGACGACTTTTTATACCCTTGCAGGGTATTATAATTTCAGTCAGAAGTTTGCAACGCAGTGAAGGAGACCTTTCCGACCCTATAAAGTATATATATTCTTGATCAGCATCAACAGGGGAACCTTTCTAGATATGTCAGGAAGAAATCGATTTTTTGGCCATTTTTGCAAAATTTTATAAGGGGTTACATCATTAAAATTTTTGATTTTGAATTGAAATTTTCAAAATTTTTAAATGAAGTATGCAGATTTATTAACTGTAGAAAATCTAGCACAGAACAGTTTTCCGATTTAAAATTAATGCTCTTTTGGCCGAGTTATGATATTTTTAATTTAAAAAAAATCAAGGAGTTTTTTAATATAAAAAATCCGATTTTATAATACAAAATAATATTTTTCTAAGTCAAGGAATCATTTCCGACCCCATAAACCATATATATTCTTGATCAGCATTAACATGCGAATCTTTCTAGACATGTCCGGAAGAAATCGATTTTTTGGCAAATTTTGAGAAATTTGATAAGGGGTTACATCATTAAAATTAGCAAAAATGGCCCAAAATTTTGATTTCTTAAAATTTTATATTTGGTATGCAGTTTTTTTAAATTAATAAAAACTAACACAAAACTGCTTTCCGAATCGAAATTAATGCATTGTTGGCTTAGTTATGATATATTTTAATTGTTACCTGCAATAGTATACAAACTTTGGCTGGCCAAAGTTAGCTTTCTTTCTTGTTTTTCTATATTATAAATATATTTTAGGGACCGTAAACAATCATTATTTTTATTTTTATATATTAAAAGTGAATTCAATTTCGGAAATTTTCTATTTTCTTCATTAGATTTAGGTATACAACAAAAATAAAAAATATTTTCTGGTAAAACTTACATTCCGGCAGCTTAAAAAAGTTCTCAATCTGAAGAAACATGGCCGAGCTGGCTACCGTGACCGAGAAGCAGAGCTGAAGGGCCATCAGGATCAGCATCACGTAAAATGGAACACTGGTGGGCAGAGTTTGCAGCAGGTTATTCGCTATCATGGATCCAAACTTATAAGCGGCGATAATGGAGCCAAAAATGGCAACGCTGCAGGTAACTTTCAAGGGAATATATAGATATCTTTATTAAAGTTTATATTTAAAAAAATATATATATGTTTATAAAACTCACTGGCAATGCCACTGAGAGCCGCCCAGGACACCTGTGACTTCTTCTTCATGTCAATTTGAAGAGTGAGGAGAACGGGATGAATGTCAAACTGGAAGGCCAGGATACTGTAGCTGTTGAGCACGGTCAGGAAGCCAGGTAATTCTGTAAAAAAAAAAACCCTTAATTAAGCTTAAAGAATCTTAAAAACCTTTTTAAAACATACCCAAGGATATGCCCTCAAAGGGAGTTCCAATCGCAGGAGCAGCAAACAGGCAGAACCAAAGAAGAGCCACAATTACTATCATCACGCAGACGGCGATAATGGCCAGGCCTCTATATCAATGGAGTTATTTTTTAATTTTTTAAATAATATCCTAATTTCTCTCACCTCATATGCTTCGGACTGCCCAGCCACATCAGGGGACAGATGACCAGGCCCACAATAATGGCCCAGTAGCAGTAGGAAAAGTTGTAGTGACCGGCGCTCATGCGTAGCACAACAGCCTCCAGATTCTCGGCGGCCATAACCACACTGGGCACTGCCATGGCAAAGATACTGAGATCCAGCAGCACGGAGACGAGCAGGCTCATATACGGACCGTAGGCCAGCTCCGCTAGGGCGGCATACGGATAGTTGCGCTTTTGCTGAATGGAGGGATCAAGCAGCTCGGCCATGGTCCAGCATTGCGACAGCAAAAAGGAGGTGTAGATCTGCAGGAAGATGATGGACAGCACCAGCAGGATGCCAAAATAGCCCAGCTTCACCAGCAGCGCTGGCAACGTGACGAACGGGAAGATGCCAAATAAATCCACCACGTACAGGATGGCGATGAACAGCGACAGGTTCTCCGGCTCATCCTCGTAGGCCCGAAAATGAGGCAGGGCGCTGAATCGAGAACGCCGCAGGAAGGGCAGCTGGTCGTGCTGATGCGAGGGCGTCAGCTGGACAGGAGGACGCCGCTTGGGCAGAGCAAAGGATGGAGCACGCGAGGGACGGGGCGCGGGCTTGGCATTCTGGCGTCGGAAGAAAAACATTCGCGATGTGGACTCCGCCAAGGGAAATATGCAACTGCAACTGAAAAGAGCAGTTCCTCTAAGCCCGAACTAATGGTGGCCACTCTCGCCCAACAAGTTCTGACACCCGACACCGAAGCCCTGCAATGTTGCCTGCAATGTCAACGCTCCACGCCTGAAGTTCAATGCCTTCGCCCCCCCGGGACCGTAGAGTGACCCACAAAACCAGGGCGGGTTGTCAACTCGAACAAGTTTATTCTACATTTATACATAGTATCAACAAATAGCTTCCAGCGCCAGCTCCTGTAATGATCCGTGAGAGATTCGTCTTCCATCTGCCTAAAGATCCACCTGGGCAATCTTCTGCTTCTTGGCCTTGCTCTGGGAAAAGGGAAAACACATGAGTTTTCGAGCATAGGATGACACCTCCTCTCGATAATTACCTCCTCTTTGGCGTCCGCCTGCATTGTGATGACTTGCACCGCCTGTCCGGGACCGAGGCGCAGCAGCTTGGAGCCCCGCGGCGTAGACTCGCCGCAGCAGAAGACCCGCGACGTGGCCGAGTGCTGGATGTGCGGACTCGGGCTGTCCGACTCATCCATGTCCTGCTCCAGCTCCAGCTGAACGCCTACGGAATAGCTGCTTGCGTTCTTGTTGTTGTCCGTGTAGGCGTGGTTAAAGAGCAAATGGGTGGGACGCACTGCATCCGTTATATACTTACTACAGTCCAGAAGTTAGGCGGGCATGGTCAGTACAACAGCAACAGAGTTACGGTTATTGTTTAATGGGACTACAAATTGCAATAGTTTCGGGGTAAGTGGATGGATACGCACACTGACCACCAGGAAATAAACAGCTAAGCTACTTGGGGGAATATTTACAAGGGCCAAGATAGGGGGTTATAGTAAGGAGACATGCATTGCGGGATTCTTTGCAAAATAGGAACTTGAAATCTGGCCTTCACTGTTCTGGCATGGCTCACTCACGCTCCATGAAGAGGCGCCACGGCTGAAACAGCGGATGGTGCTGGTGGGGCGGGTGGTGCGAATGGCGGTGCCGATGGCTTGGGTGACGCTGGGCCGGTGGGGACTTCTCTATCGGGTGCAAAACGCGTCAGGAGTCGCATTCGGTCGGTGCCGGTGCATCCTGCCTGCAGTTTGAGACACAAAAGGAGACATACTAAGAGCTGTCACGTTAATCGCGATCTCGTTTGTGTAAAATGTGTCCAGCTGGCGCCTCTCATTCAGTGTACGTATCGGGATGAAGGTTGATGGGATTGGGATTGTGATTTTGAGACTGTGCATGCGGTTTACAGGGGGAAGATGACTTGGAGTCCACCTACGATTTAACGTTGAACAAGCGCTGGCGCTTGATGTACTCCAACACCAGATCGTCTAGTAAATACTTGACCGATTGACCGCGTCCGAGGAGTCGCCGGATCAGCGTTGAGCTCACCTCATTCGGCACCCAGTTAGTGATCAGCGTTATGTTGTTCTGAAATATGCAAGGAAATAACTAGAAACTTGCTTTGGATTTTCCCTTTTCAAGACTCACCTGGTATTTGGTCAATATGTCGGAGTCAAAGATGAATTTTCCTGGGTTGGAGCCTGCACGGGTGATGACCACCAGGCCATGGTTGGCCACAATGTTCTCAATCTGCATGAGTTACAAACAAATTGTAACAAATGAAGTTCAAAAATCGTACTTAGACTTACATCTGCTTCCGCCCAGAGACCTGGGACGGCGAAGGATTCCAGGAGGTCGGCGCCGCACAACAGCTTCAAGTGCACGGGATCTCGACTGTCGTGCAGCCCCCTGGGTAGCCAGCTGGCCTTGTGCGAATTCCCATCATCCCCATCCCCACACGGTCCGCCAGAGTTGAGCTCGTTATTGATGTAGTTCTGATGGTACTGCAGTACAGCCTGTGTGCGCATCCACTGATTCTGGTGAACCTCCCAGTCGGAGAGGCGGATCCAGCTGGAGCTCTGGGTGGCCAGCTTCACCATCGCACAGCGATCTAGGGCGGAGGCCAGGCCCTTTTTGCCGTACGAATCGTGGGTGGGCGAGATGATGCCGCCTACCACCTTGTGGGTGCCCTGCATCTCGAAGTGATCCTTGGCTATTTCTGGAGATGATTACACATGCGATGTTGATATCGATTATACTTCCGGGAATTTCACCACCTGACCAAACACTCACCGAACATCCGCATGTGCATCGGTGTGGGCGGACTGAAGCAGCCGCAGGCGATGAAGGCGATGCGGGGCAGCAGACTTTTGGTTTCCTCGATAAAAGCAGACATTTTCTTCGCTTTTCTGGCGACCTTTTCCGATTCCGTTTCACCGATCCACAACCAGAAGCTGTTGTTGTTCGACCTGCTGATTTTCGCAATCAGCTGCTTTGCCCACATAGGCCTTCAAGCTTTTCCAACACTATCAGCTGTGAGGGCTGCCAACTCCACGTGCATTCGATTACAGCCAGGAGTACCGATAAAAGATCCGTTTACTTCTTCAAACTTCGGTTTATAATAAAATTTCCTATTTTGACTTAAAAATAAAATATTAAGCTCTTGAAAAACTATTGCTAGTTTCGTCAATCGCACATAGTATTACAGCAAAACAAAATAATAAAAACAAAAAACGGAAAAACTGGTTCCAGTTCCAGCTCGTGCAGCGCGAGAACCAGTGCTATCGACTAGAAATGGCGTCTAATCGATTGCACTGGTTCAGTCTTTTCTTTTACGAAAATTTCGTGTAGTATTTACCATTTAAAAGCGTTGTGAGTGTTTGTCAATTGTGAGGACCACTGCTGGGTCCCACCGTTTCCAAGAGCGAACCGCAGCAGCCAACGTCCAAGTGTCCAGATTGCGGAAAAGATCGAAGAGGAGGAGGAGAAGCAGAGCGAGGAGCCGAGTGCAAAAACAACGGGCAGCAAGCAGCGACAAGAAAATGCATTTGTAACCCACACACTCTCCCGTCAACACACATACACACCACACAGGCGCGGGCAGCAGCAAGGATTGGCCAGGAGGAAACCGCCTCATCATCAGCAGCAGCCACACCATCACCATCTTCGCCAGGTGGAGCAGGGGCAAGAAGAGGCGGCGGAGGAGGAGGAGGAGCGGCGGCAGCAGCAGCAGTAGCAACAACAAATGGCGCTGGTGACGGTGCAGCGCTCTCCCAGTGTGGCTGGCTCCTGCTCGAATTCGGTGAGTATCATCGCAATTCGCGAGGGCGAGGGTCTCGCGTGTGTGTGTGCTTTGTTTTGGTCCCCGTCTCCATCGCCCTCTCCCCAAAGAGAGTGCCAATTAGGCAAAGCGGTTCTCCCGTGCGTGTTTCGCTGTCGGTCATGATCCTTTGTGTGTTTTCTCGCCAAATGTTTACGCGAACGCTTGTTGCTTACGTTTTGTTTTATTTCCCGTGTGGGCGGACGGCGTCATCGGCGCTGCTTTTGGTGTAACCCAAGCAAATCCGTCGCAGACGTCGCGACGTCTATATTTTTCAATAAACTTTTGCATTGCCTTATTTGTCGTTTTTGTCGCTTGTCTCGCGTCTGGCTGTTGCTCTTCTTCCGCCCGAACCGCCCCAAAAATAGTTCGCGAGACCTTGAGCCCGGGTCGCGTTTGTGTGTGTGTGCCGCCCTTGGAATTTTAATTCAGGCAATAATCCAAAATAATCGGACATAAATCGAGCAAACAATAATAATTATAGCCCTTCGAGATCCCTTTGCGTAGTCATTCATCGTAGGATCTCGTTTATGGCTATGCAGGAGAATGGTTTACCACGAGAATATATTTTATATATCACGCTGGGTGCGTGAGTCACCTGGTTGGTGGAGCGGGCAGTGGAGGGTGAGCGACCACATGGACAGTTTGTAATAAAAATACCTCTCTTTATTTCCATTTCCGGTTACCCCCCAGGATGGCGAGGCCGAGGACGACGAGGGCAATAGCAAGGGCAACGCGGAGCGTAGTGAGTGCTTCTTCGCAGGCAAGGGCACCGCCCTGGTCCTGGCACTCAAGGACATCCCGCCCCAGCAGCATAGCGAACGGAGACTGAGCACGGACTCCACCCGCTCCAGCAACAGCACGCAGAGCAATAACTCGGACATCCAGCTTCATCTGCAGTCCATGTTCTTTCTGCTGCAGCGCGAGGACACGCTCAAGATGGTGGGTATTCACAAGGGATACAAAGGACCCCATTAATCACTCTCCCTCTCCCGCTTTCATTAGGCTGTCAAGCTGGAGTCGCAGCGGTCCAACCGCACGCGCTACCTGGTGATTGCCTCGAGGAGTTGCTGTCGTTCCTCCACCAGCGAACGAAGGCGCCACCGGATCATGCGTCACAACTCGGCCAAGGTCAGCGGATCCACGTCCACGTCCTCCACGCAGCGTCAGCTGTCCGAGGAGCAGGCCCCGGCTCCAGCAGCCAGCAAATGTGATAGGTCAGCGGACAAGGAGAATGCAACAGCGGCCAGCGACAACAACAAGAATACCTCGGGCATGGAGGAGTCCTGCCTGTTGGGCATAGACTGCAACGAGCGGACAACCATTGGGCTGGTTGTGCCCATTCTAGCGGACACAACGATCCACCTAGATGGCGACGGGTGAGACAAGTCAAATATCTTCAATAAGGGATTCCAAGCATTGCATTAACACGTTCTTATCCTTCTTGCAGTGGCTTCAGTGTCAACGTTTATGAGAAGACGCATATCTTCAAGCCAGTTTCAGTGCAGGCCATGTGGTAAGTGGCTTCATAGGGTTTCCAACCTGATATCCCTAATAAAATCTCTCCTCTCATGCGCAGGTCCGCGCTGCAGACGTTGCACAAAGTTTCGAAGAAGGCTCGTGAGAACAACTTCTATGCCAGCGGCCCTTCTCACGATTGGCTGTCCAGCTATGAGAGTCGCATCGAGTCGGATCAATCCTGTCTGAACGAGTGGAATGCCATGGACGCGCTAGAAAGCCGCCGACCCCCCTCGCCAGATGCCATACGAAACAAGTAGGGAATATTAAATCTATGCCAAGCTCAGTAATTAATAATGTTTTCTTGACGTTATGGCAGACCCCCCGAAAAGGAGGAGACCGAGAGTGTAATCAAGATGAAGCTAAAGGCCATCATGATGTCAGTGGACCTGGACGAGGTCACCTCCAAGTATATACGCGGCCGCCTAGAGGAGATCTTGGACATGGACCTGGGCGAGTATAAGTCGTTTATAGACACCGAAATGCTCGTTATTCTTGGTCAAATGGATGCTCCTACTAAAATCTTTGAGCACGTTTACCTGGGCTCAGAGTGGAACGCCAGCAACCTGGAGGAACTGCAAAAGAATGGGTATATATTGGGATTTAGTTCGACTTTCCTACATAATACTAACACATCCTTTGTTCTCTACCTTCCAGCGTTCGCCACATCCTGAATGTGACCCGGGAGATTGACAATTTCTTCCCAGGCACCTTCGAGTATTTTAATGTGCGCGTCTATGACGACGAGAAGACCAACCTGCTCAAGTACTGGGACGACACGTTCCGCTACATTTCGCGGGCCAAAGCCGAGGGCTCCAAGGTGCTAGTACACTGCAAGATGGGCGTCAGCCGTTCCGCCTCTGTCGTGATCGCCTACGCGATGAAGGCCTACCAGTGGGAGTTCCAGCAGGCCCTGGAGCACGTGAAGAAACGACGCAGCTGCATCAAACCGAACAAGAACTTCCTGAACCAACTGGAGACCTACAGCGGCATGCTGGACGCCATGAAGAACAAGGAGAAGCTGCAGCGCAGCAAGAGCGAGACAAACTTAAAGAGCACAAAGGACGCGCGCCTGCTGCCTGGCAGTGAGCCGACGCCCCTCATTCAGGCGCTCAACCAGGCCAAGTCCAAATCCACTGGCGAGGCCGGAGTGACGCCCGACGGGGAGGACGAGGATCAACGAATACACCGTCGATCAAGTGCTCAAAAGTCACAGCGGCGAATGGTCCGACGTTCCAGCAGCACCTCACCCAAGACCCAGACAGCGGTGGTCACCAAGCAGCAGAGCCAGTCCATGGAAAACCTGACGCCCGAGCGCAGCGTGGCCGAGGAGCCAAAGAACATGCGATTCCCGGGCAGTAACGGTGAGAACTACAGCGTCACACAGAACCAGGTGCTGCACATACAGAAGCACACGCCTCTGTCGGTGCGCACGCGGGTTCACGATCTCGAGGCGCACACCTCGGACCAGCCGCCGGCACAATCGCAGCCCGTCTGGACCTCGCTAACCAAGCTGATTACGCAGACTTCCCACTTGGCAGGCAGTGGGAGTAGCAGTGCAGGTGGAAGCGGAAGTGGGGGCGTACCACCGCGTCGCGATTCCAGCTCATCGGATGTGTTTTCCTCCCAGGTGGACAGCGTGTTTGCCAAGGAGGAAGTGGAGAAGCGTCAACGCCGCAAAACGCACTCATGGACAGAGTCCTTCGGACCCAGTGGCGGCATTGTCCTGGATCCCACCCCTCAGCAACAGCAGCAGACCAGTTCCATTCTGCTCCGACCACGAGGTCAACGGCAACGGGAGACACCTTTTAGGCATGCCAGCTGGGGTTCTGGTGACAACAGAAGCAGCTTGCCACTGAGGACCAGCTCTTGCTCCTACTACGACAGCAATCGCAACACCACGGCCATCTTCGAGGGAGAGATCCAGGATTTGAAACGCGGCAGCAACTTCAATGTCAACGACGGAGTAGCAGTGGTAGCGCCCACAGGGATTGCAGCTGGCGAGGGCACCGTGAAGCGCACTAAGCAGAAGCTAGAGGAGAGCACGGCACTGAAAAAGCGATGCCAGGAGGACAGCCAGGAGTTGCTACTCGAGGCGGTAGATGGCCACCAGAAGCGGTGTCCAAGTCTGTACCGAAGCGCCTCCTCTGCGCACAGTCCCCGGCAGCGTCAGCCACTGCGCTGCAACAGCGAGGAGCTAATGCACACCAGCGACATTGAGAACAAGAATACCACGCCCGGCGACCACGAGGTGGCGGTGGTGCTACGCGGTCAGGCTCAAGCGGTAGCAGAAGATCAGCGCATCTCGGGAAATGTGCAAATACTCAAGCAGAACTTTGAAGCCAAAGCAGGAGTGGTGGGTGGAGGAGGAGGCGTAGCATCTGCTACTGCATCCGGGAGCAGTTCGATCCTGGTAGCATCGGGTGGAGGCAGTGGCTCCGGAGTTAGTTCTGTGGGCTTGGGTAAAAAGACAACCAGCCACCAATCACTGCCCTCGTCGCCGGTGGCCCAGCATGCCAACCATGTAACTGCCGCCTCAAACTCCAACTCCAACTCATCCGCCTCCAACTCGTCCGATTCCAGCGTAAGCGAAAATTGTGATCGTAATGTAAAAGGTCTAGTGCATAAATATCAAACCACAACTTCCTGCAGTAGCCAGGCGGCGGCTCCACCAACAGTCGCCGTTGCACCACTGCCGCCGCCCGCAGCCAGCAGCAATGCGAGCCACATGCTCAGCAGCAACACAATTACCACCACCACCACCACCACTAGCTTCAAGCAACGCCCGCGCTCCTACTACGATCGATCTCTGTCGAACAGGTCAACGCACGACTACAGCGAGAATCGCCCGCCTCCTGCCCCGGCTCGTCATATTCACAGTCAGCACAGCAGCAGCAATAGCAACAGACAACAGCAACAGCCGGAGCAGCAGCAGCAGCAGCAACAGGTTCAGATCCGTCGGCTAGCGCAGCACGGAAAAACGCATCCGCTGAGCAGGCTAAGTGCCCCCAAAACGGGCTTCAACACCGCAGCCTACAACACCATGTAAAGGCAACGCTCTGCTTAAGAACATCCCAACTGCAACACCAGCAATCCATACCCCATTAGCCACTAAGGAAACGTCGTCATCGTCCTCATCGTCCCCATCCCTTCGCCCGCTTTACGTATTTATATATTTGCCTGCTTTTGTCCATTTTGTGTTTCTGTCCAACAATTAAACACCATCATCACTAATCACCCCTTTCACGCCTTATGTTTGTTGTTGTTTTGTATGAGAGACGTCCATGGAAGCTTCAAAAGATCGGATGCCGGGAGCATATTAGGGAGAGCAAACAAAACAACCTATGGAAAATAAACTGTATTTGTACTTTTTAATTACTTGTAACTGTATACATATTTATTTTATATTATGCAAGAACTGCCTACGAATAAACGATTTATTGTATATACGTCATCATCGTCCGGTGATTGTCTATGTTCCGTCTTGGTCTCTGTCCCCCATATCCTCTGTGTTGACGCACACTGCCTGCCTGCCTGCCTCCCATTTTTACCAGCCTTGTGTATTTGCAGCCTTATCCACATGATCAGCTCCTTCCGCTACTCGTGGGCGGAGTACAAGAAGTAGTGATCCGTGATCCGTGATCCGGGCCCTCTGATGCGAAACCCTGTCGAAGCCCATCACAGTTCCCACCTTGAACATTTTGTATATTTTTTTTTGCTATTTACCAGACCATATATATTTATGTATAAATAAAAGAAATGTGTAATCCAATTTGGAGCGCAATCTGTTTTACTGTTTACCATGAGTCACTTCTGGGGCTATTGTTTGGGTCTCTAGACATTTTAAGTTGAGTATCTGACGATGATTGTGTAAGGCCGATAAAGGTTAAATTCAGAGTTTAAAGTTATATCGTTTTTTTTTTAAGAATAATCAAAAATATATGCAGTACTCATCGGAATATTTAGTACTCCTTATTAGTTTAATTGGACAAAGGTATCGCAAAATAAGGAAACCAGCGTAAAGTTTTTAATTGAAAAATTCATAATTCTAAGTATAATCAAATTTTTTTTTTAAATTTGTAGTAAAATAGTTATAGTAGTTAAAAATAGTTTATACCAAAATATAAATTAATAAATTAGAAGAAAGCTATCTCACAGGAACCGAAGCTTTTTTACCCTTGTTATTTTCAATATGAACATAAAAATCGACTACCACAAAAGCAAAAAATCCGTTTACTTCAATTTGAAAAGCTTTCAAAATTAGTATTTTTTTTATTTTTTGAACATTTTTTCTTTTTTTTAATGGGTTACATCATCCATTAAAAAAAAGAAGGAAAAAGTAGTCAATTCGTCAAAACAAGATAATAGAATTTAAATGAAATAAAAACCAAATTTATTTTAAGAATTGTTTATCAATGTGAAAAATATAATAACTGTTTTGATGAGCTAGTTTTAATTTTTAAAATAAATTCTTTAAACTTTCAAATAAAACAAGGTATAAAGATTTAAAAAAAACACCAACCAAAAATATTTATTTTTTAAATATAAATATTTTAGAAATAAAAAAAAAATGTACGATAAATTCTTTTGAAGCTCAAAGTTTTAACTTAAAAAATTTTTTTTATTTGCAATTCACGACACGGTAAATGTGCCATCACTAATTTATTGTTTCGATAGTATCGTTTGGATTTTACATAACCGGTTGGGAATTCGACCCCGTTTTACATACCTTCTACCCCATTGCTACATTTGACACGGTTTATAACCGCTTAGCCAACTTTCATCTGGTAACACTTTAATTAAAATTTTTAGTAACACTTAGTAAGAAAAGTTAAATGCGAAATTAGTTGTTAAATCGTGGCACACTCGGCGGAACGGCAGCGAAAACGCAATCCGGTGGCAAAGTGCAGACTATGTGATGCTGTCTGGAGCAGAAATCACACTCCAATAACCGAACATTCGATTTTCGAGTCGCAGAGTTGTTATTGTTGCAACTGCTGCAGCTCCAAAGACGGCTCACCAATCGTACGTGGCGCTATTTGCACGGAAAGCTCTACCCGGCCGGGGGATCCTAAGCAGATCGGGCGATGACGGACGCCGCGAGCAATGCACTGGCCGAGAAGGGACTGCCGGAGATGAAGGGCTGGCTGCTGAAATGGACCAACTACATTAAGGGATACCAGCGGCGCTGGTTCGTCCTGTCCAAGGGCGTGCTGAGCTATTACCGCAACCAAACGGAGATCAACCACACCTGCCGAGGCACCATCTCGCTGCACGGAGCCCTGATTCACACGGTGGACTCGTGCACGTTTGTAATCTCGAACGGCGGCACCCAGACGTTCCACATCAAGGCCGGAACGGAGGTGGAGCGCCAGTCATGGGTGACCGCTTTGGAGCTGGCCAAGGCCAAGGCCATACGGGCCATGGAGAGCGAGGAGGAGGAGGAGGAGGTGACGGCCCAGGTGGTGCCCAGCCAGGAGATCAGTTCGGTTGTGCGCGACCTAACAGAGCGACTGGAGAACATGCGCACATGCTACGACCTGATTACCAAGCACGGCGCCGCCCTGCAGCGCGCGCTAAATGACTTGGAAACGAACGAGGATGAATCGCTGGCCAGCCGCACCAAGATCGTCAACGAGCGGGCCACTCTCTTCCGGATCACCTCCAACGCAATGATCAATGCCAGCAACGATTACCTGCACTCGGCGGAGGCACAGGGCCACAAGTGGTCCAAGATGCTGCACCACGAACGCGAGCAGCGACAGCGGCTGGAGGAGATCGTCGAGCAGATGGCCAAGCAGCAATCCCAGATGGAGCAGGCCGCGGTTATGGTGCGACAGAACAAGCAAGTGCCGTCCAATGCCACCAGTACCACGGCTGTCTCTCTGGTGACCTCCGATGAGGAAATGGAATTCTTCGATGCCGAGGAGCATGCATATACCGGACCCGGTCGTTCCGCAGAGTCACCGACTAGGGAGCAGGGCACCTTTATCCTGAAAATGAACAAGCGACGCAGCAGTAGCGAAGACCAGGTGGAGGGCCACCAGGAGGGCAGCTCCTCCGAGAGCGACGAGCAGAAGCGCACCGTCCAAATGGTGCAGCAGGTGCATCTGGTGAGTGCGCCACGCGTGACTTCCGGAGGTCAGGGCGACGATGATGATGTAGACAAGGCGGTGCCGGCCCAGTCGAGCAAAGACTCCATCTACGGACGCAACTGGAATCCCGATCTGATGAAGAAGCGGCGCGAGCGGGTGCCCGACAAGCCCCACTACCCCCTTAGCCTTTGGGGCATCATGAAGAACTGCATTGGCAAGGATCTATCCAAGATTCCCATGCCGGTGAACTTTAACGAGCCGCTGTCCATGCTGCAACGCCTGGTGGAAGACTATGAGTACTCGGAGATCCTTGACTATGCATCCACCTGCCAGGATGAGTGCGAGCAGCTGGCCTACCTGGCCGCCTTCACCGTCTCCGCTTATGCAACGACCACGAATCGCACCGGCAAGCCCTTTAATCCGCTGCTTGGCGAGACCTTCGAGTGCGACCGGATGGACGACTACGGCTGGCGCTGTGTGGCGGAACAGGTCTCCCATCATCCACCCGTGGCGGCTCTTCACTGTGAGAGCAAGAAGTGGATGTGCTGGCAGGAGTTCTCCATGACCAGCAAGTTCCGCGGCAAATACGTCCAAGTGAGTAGTAAAAGTGAAAGATTCTCGATGGGATTTGTCACTTAATCTCCAATTGCCTTTTAGATCAATCCCCTGGGCGGTGTCTATGTGCTGTTTCCAGACAGCGGTCGCCGCTATTCCTGGCGCAAGGTGACCACCACGGTGAACAACATCATTGTGGGCAAACTGTGGGTGGATCAGCATGGCGAAATGGAGATCAAGGGATCACAGGCGGCCGAGGGACACAAGTGCATCCTGAACTTCGTCCCCTACTCCTACTTTAGTCGCGATGTCCAGCGCCTGGTGAAGGGTGTGGTGATGAATCGAAACAACGAGGTGAAGTGGGTGGTGCGTGGCACCTGGGACGCAAAGATTGAGATTGCACCGGTTCTCAAGACGACGGGATCGCCCAGCAGTCCCACGTACACCACGGGCGATTTCAAGCTGGCTTGGCGCCGCCGGCCCGCTCCTCCGGACTCCGAAAAGTTCTACAACTTCACCACGCTAGCCTGCCAGTTAAACGAGGAGGAGGAGGGCGTGGCGCCAACAGACTCACGCCGCCGTCCCGACCAGCGCCTTATGGAGCAGGGTGCCTGGGATGAGTCCAACAAGGAGAAGCTGCGATTGGAGGAAAAGCAGCGTACGGTGCGCCGCCAGCGAGAGTCCGAGGCGGAGCATGCGGCGGCGGAAGGCAGGCCCTATCCGGCCTACGAGCCCATGTGGTTCAAGCGGGAGAAGGAGGAGGGCAGCGAAGACTTTGTGTATCTGTTCAAGAACACCTACTGGGAGGCCAAGGAGGCGCAGAACTTCGAGGGCTGCCCACAGATATTTTAGACCAGGACGATGAGCAGGAGCAGTAGCAGTAGCCAACCAGCACACAAAGGAGCCTTAGCGAATATTCTAAAGATTTCAAATATGCAGCCTCCACCCACACCCACGCTCCGGCGGATTGCGGAGCAGCACATACGCATATATAGTAGTATCACACTTTGGTCTAGTGCATATACATATATATACACACGCATATATATATATAAATTCCCCTAAACTAACTACGATCGATCCGCGCCCATGCATCGAAATTTATCATTTGTTCCCAGACCCTCCCCCCAATCACTACCAGGTCTCTTCCTTTATCGCAGAATAAATTCATGTTTCGCCTTTGTTGTGTATATATAGTATATATCGAACGAAACCGGGAACCGGGGACAGGTACCGAGGGCCGGGGAAGAAGGAGCAAAAGAGAGAAATATGTTAAATGTTATAAATTTATGCAATTTATTATTAAAGTATTATTTAAATAAAGCAACAATGTGTGTGTTTTAACTACCGTCGGGCCACCTGCCAGCTCGATAAGATCCCCGACTGACTCATGTGATTGCTATCTTATAATCCTACTGCCATTAGGGGCAAATCGAACTAATGAATCGTAAAAGAGTAAAGTTAAACATTCGGAGGACTGTTTCCAACTCGGGTGAACTTTGCTTCATGTAGTGAAAGGGGTGAAATTCCATGTGTGATGGGGATGACCTTAGGGATGCATTCCCAAGTCAGCGAGTGTTCCCTTTAGACCACCACCACCACCCCGCATTAAGTATTTACTATGTTTAATGGGCGTCGAATTAGAAAATATTCAACAAAATATAATATAATTATATTTCAAACCTACAGATATAGTACAATTGCTAGAAATACAACAAGCATTACTCTCCACCCTCCGGCGGCCATCGATCAGGCTTATCAGAGCTGACAATCCACCACCAAAGATAACGTTTTAGGTCAGAGACCCTGACCCTCAATTGCTATCCGTGGTCTGCGAGGGTACGAATATATCCAGGGACTTGAGCAGGGCCTCACCAGACGGATCGCGACCCTGGAAGCGGCGGAACACCTCCGCCGTGGGCACTGAACCGCCCGAGCTTAGGAAGGTCTGCTTGTAGCGTCGTCCAACTGCCGCATAGTTATCCTCACTGCGCTGTTCTGCAAAGCTGCTGGAGATGTCAGCGGCTATCAGGCGGGAGTATAAATGGCTGAACTGTGCCGCTGCCCAATCGCCGGCAAAGATGTCGGTGAGCGAGCAGGGATGGGCGTCCATTTTGTCCAGCGGCATGCAATGATACACGGGCCACAGTTTGCGCACAATCTGCAGCCAGAAGGCGTTCGAACGGTGCAGCTCCACGTCCAGATCGGCCAGATACAGGTCCTGGCAGAGATTATAACCGGCCAGTTGGGTCTTCAGCAGGCGCATTTTCTGGGAGAGTCCAGCTTCAAGAGGCTCACCAGTGCTAAAGTGGCCAGAAAGACTCCTAATTACCGTGGGATCGTCCAGGAAGTTGCTCATGACATGTCCCGACACCTGCGAGGCATCCCACTCGATGTTAGAGAGGCCGGCCAGATCGCTGTAGCCCGCCTGGGTGAGCAGGTGTTGCAGTCCGCTGCCAAAGGTCTTGAAGACCATCTGGAGATCATCGTAGCACAGCAGGGGCGGCCTGCTCTCGGGTGAACCTTGTGGTGGTTCCGAGAAGTTAAAGATTAGAGCGCAGAGGGGAGTAAGACCGGCTGTCCTGTTGCTATTCCTTATGCCCACCATCCAGCCGTTGTTCCGGCCGAACTTGTGCTCCTTGGAATAGCAGTCCACATAGAAGCCACCCACAGGCGTGGAGCTGTTGGAGGAGTCCGCATCAAAGACATCGTAGAACTTGACAGCAGGATGCCAGACCTCCGCCTTGGGTTGCTCCACTATCTGGATACCAAAGAGCTTTTCGCTTAGCGCAAACATTCCAGAGAGAACCCTGGGCAGTGGGAAGAACTCGCTGAGTTTTTGCTCCTGCAGGCCGTGCTCCGCCGCCAACTGCTTGCGTCGCCAGTAGGCCACGTCGTAGGCCTCCAGTTTGTAGTCGCAGCCGCTGTCCTGGGCAAAGGTCTGCAGCTTCTCCAGCTCCACACTTTGAGCCGGGCCGGAGAACTTGAGGAGCTTGGCAAAGATCTGCTTGAGGTTGTCCACGCTGCCCACCATTTTGGTCTGCATGGACATTTCCGCAAAGTTGGCGTAGCCCAGAAGATTTGCCTGCCGCTGACGCAGTCCGCGGATCTTCTCCAGGTGCGTGCTGGTCTCCAGGGCCTTGCTCTGCTGCGAGGAGGCCTTCAGCACGTTTGCTCGCCACACATTCCAGCGCTGCAGCCGCTCCGGGCAGTGTTTGAGGAAACCGTCGACCACCTGGGGCTGCAGTGTGATCTTCCAGGGGCCCTCCAGCGGCTGGCTGGAGTCGACAGCAGTGGCCTCGAGCAGAGCGGGTGGAAAGTCCCGTACCAGGTTGAAGTCGGCCACCACATGACCGAACGAGTGCACCGCCATGTTGACCTTGTTCTTGAAACTGGCCCGTTCGCGACCCAGGTGTGTGAGCAACTCCTTGAGCCCGTCCTGCTTATCCTTATCCAGCGTCAGGCCGTTCAGCTTGCCCTCCAGCAGGAACTTCTGCCGCAGCCGCTGCTCGTCCGCTCCGGCGACGAATGTGGCCTCCTGGAGTGCCTTGTAGACTGTGGGGTTGCAGAACTTTGCTGCCCGCGCATTTCGCGCCCTCTCGTGGATGTTCATGTAGGATTTGGTGGGAATAAGCGTGGAGTTGCCCAAATACAGAGCCTTGCCCACGCCCCAGGTCGTCTCCAGCGGTCCAGTTACGGCGTCCAGCTCCCGAAAGATTCCGGCGGCGTCCAGTTGCCTGCCACCCTGCAGGTCGCTTTCCAGCGCCTTCACGGACTTCTCCACCGCCGAGGCCTGCTGCCCGATGGCGCCCAGGCACATCTCGATAGTGATGTCACTGAAGGCCGGTAGACCGTCTGGCTTGAGCACGCCCTCGCCCAGCGTGCCCTCCTCCCCAATCTCCGGCACCCTGAATGATTAACTTGCATTAATATCTCTGCTTCCACGAGGGACGATGGCTGACCAATATACTCACAGCACTATGTAGCCCGGCCGGTTCTCGGATGTGTGGAGGGGAGCGCCAAGCGCGGCCCGGATGAGGGGCACTGGCGCCGGGCGTCGTCGCAGGAGGTTCAGCATGTCCTTTGGTACCGGATATGTTCAATTCCGGAGTGTGTGCTCCGGATTTTCCAAGAAATGGAGAAAAAGGCAAGGAACAGCGTTTACACAACACGCCTGACGGCCGGTGCTGCCAAAACTGGCTTTTTTGTAGCCATCCGTCAAATGTCTTGAGTTAGCTAAGGCTCAATCCAAGGTGAATAACTTTGGAGGGATTGCGATTTTTATACCATTTATTGGTATAAAATATTATTATTATTATTACAAAATTATTAAATTTAAAAATTTAATTTTGTAATAATTTTGAATTTTAAAAAATTGAATTTTCCCTAAAAAGAAAAAAAATCACTTAATAGGGTAGCATATTGAAAAGCATGTGGTTTTAATAAATCGATTTATTTAAAAAATTATTCATTATTCGCATTAAACATAAAGGAAACTCCCTTTGTTATCAATAATAATTCTGGAAGCATATTGGATGTTTGCCTTAAAAGATTATTTTGAAGAAATTACAACAAAAGGCACAGTTTTTGGCTTGAGCTTATCTTAGCTTTCTGTGGGGAATCACCTTGCCGTTATCAAACCATCAGATAAATTGCAATCACTCTCACGCAGGTAAGTTTAAGTTGATGATCATTAGTAGGACATTATTTGCTCCACATTCTTACGGAGATCGTTGCGTCCGCACTCACCCAAGGCGCGGCAAAGGCGAATGAGAAAGTGCTTAGGATCGTGGCAGTCATCCTCTTCGATTACCTGGAGCAGGCGAAGGATCTGTGACTTCAGGTCGTGCGGAAAGCGCTCCTCGATGTTGTCCATCGACCCCTCGCCAATGCCCGCCGCCCGGCCCAGGCGGCGCCAGAAGCGTCCGAGTTCCTCGGAAATCTTCTTGAACACGGCAGCCCGCTTGCGTTCCGTGAACGCAGCCGGGGATGTGGTCATCTGTGCTGGGGGAGGTGGCGCAGTAGTAGTAGCTGCCGATACAGGAACCACCTGAGGTGCGCCAAACCGCAGTTGCTCGCGGAGTTCCTCGGCAAGACGCAGTTCCTGGTACCGATTTACCGGCTCCCGGGGTGCTGGCGGTGTGTAGGCATTCAGAGCCTCTTTTAGCTTCGGCTGATTGCTGGACATCCTATGCAACAGCTCCACATTGTCTTCGGACAGTTCATCCGCCCGTTCCAGGCAGTCGAGGAGATCCTCCACACTGCGGATGCAGTCGTACTTCCTTTGCGTCCCGATCTCATTTGAGAACAGGGCCTTCAGCTCATTGATGTCCGTGCCGCCCTCTTTGGCGAGCTGCTTCAGGATGTCGTAGCTCCAGTGGTTGCCCGTCATTGTGACTAATAACCCGGCCAAAAGCGGTAACTACCAATTTCCAATATTGCCAAGCCCCAAAAACCTTTCTTCTGGTATAGTGATGGAAGTTTAATCGATTATCGTACATTTGCAAAAATGCCATCTCTAGTATTTAAGTGCCAAAAATGTATTTTAAATTTAATTTATATACAAAATATATCATTAAATATATACAAAAATATTAAAAAAAAAAAACCAAACAACAACAAATGTCGCTTTTCAAATCACTTGATATTTCATAGAAATACGAAACTATTTTGATAACATCGATAACCGATAGCTTTGCGATCATACAAGAAATGCCATCTCTATAAGGTCGGGCGAGAAAACCCAGAAAATTGATGGAAATCTCCATAAACGTCTTTGTTTTCCTGCTCTACACCCTGGTCGTTATCTACCTTCAGCATTTCGTCAACAAGTACACGGAGTTCGTGCGCAGCCTCTAGATGCTGGGACTGCAGACGTACGGCAGCTCCTCGGAGGGCGAGTCGGACCATGAGGACGCCGCCAAATCACCTCCTGCACCCGTTCCCGCTCATTTGTTGCCAGTGGACAAAACGCATTCGATTTCCACGGCCATAGCGGTGTGTGCTGCTCCCGCCGTGGTGCCCATTGGTGCTTCAGCGGTGCCACGGACCTTGGATCCCACGCTAAAGGAGGTATTGTACAACCCCCGCTACGAGGAGATGTACACGCCCGTAAAGGGACCCGAGCATCCGGACATGACCATGCAGCAGCGGGCGCCGCGAAACACATTGGCCGGCTACGTGGAGAAGGCGCACATCAACGCCTTTGAGTTCGAGAACCAGCGACGCACTTTCCACACCTACGGCTATGCCCTGGATCCCAGTGTGGACGAGATGGCCGACGGACAGTCGTATGTGGGAGATCTGCAGTCGGCCTACGATGACAATGGTAAAACAGTGTTCGAGGCACCCAAGGCGAAGAAGCTGCGCAAGCAGGAGAAGAACGACAATCCCGAGGACATCGAGGGCTTTCTGGGACCGTGGGGCAAGTTTGAGAACGAGGTGTCGGTGGCCAAGCCCAACGATCAGGAGCGCGCGGAGCTAGACGAGCTGCTATCCAAGCGGCACAAACGCGGACGCATTCCCGAGGACAAGCCGCTCGAGGAAAAGTCCACACTGCACAGTGAGTGGCAGCAGCTCTTCTACTTTCAAGAAATTCTGGTTTAATCTACATATTCTTTACAGTCAAGGATGCCTACGACTACCAGGGACGCTCATACCTGCACGCTCCACACGATTTGGGTGTGAATCTCCGCTCCAATGCACCGCCACCGAAATGCTTCCTGCCCAAGGCGCACATACACACCTGGTCCGGCCACAACAAGGGCATCTCCTCCATTCGCTGGTTCCCCAAGACCGCCCATTTGCTTCTATCCGGCTCCATGGACTGCCGAGTCAAGCTGTGGGAAGTTTATGGAGAGCGGCGATGCATACGCACCTTTTCCGGACACCGACAGGCCATCAAGGACATTGCGTGGAACAACAGGGGCACAAACTTTTTGTCTGCCTCCTACGATCGCTACATAAAGCTTTGGGATGCGGAAACAGGCGACGTGGTGTCGCGATTCACCACCCGCAAGATGCCCTTCTGCGTAAAGTTCCATCCGGACAACAGCAAACAGCATTTGTTTGTGGCCGGCACCTCCGACAAGAAGATCATTTGCGTAAGTTATTTTCATATTGAAATCCCGCATAAATATTTATCGTTATAATCCACAGTGGGATACTCGCAGTGGAGATATTGTCCAGGAGTATGACCGGCACTTGGGCTCTGTTAGCACCATTACTTTTGTGGACGACAATCGTCGGTTTGTCACCACTTCGGACGACAAATCGATGCGCATCTGGGAGTGGGACATACCCGTGGACATGAAGTACATCGCTGATCCGACCATGCATTCCATGCCGGCTGTTACCCTGGCTCCCAATGGCAAATGGATGGCCTGCCAGTCGCTGGACAACAAGATTGTCATCTTTTCTGCTTTGAATCGCTTCAAGATGAATCGAAAGAAGACCTTTACCGGACATATGGTCTCTGGCTACGCCTGTCAGCTGGACTTCTCGCCGGACATGAGTTACCTGGTGTCGGGTGATGGCGATGGCAAGTGCTACATTTGGGACTGGAAGACGACGAAGATGTACAAGAAGTGGCAGGCGCACGACGGCGTCTGCATCAGCGCCCTCTGGCATCCGCATGAGGCCAGCAAGGTGGCAACTGCTGGCTGGGATGGCCAGATTAAATTCTGGGACTAGATCTTAGTCCAACTAAACTAATTACTTAGGTGTAAGCCAAAAACGACGTGTAAATTGATTGATTATATTGCATACCTTTTATGTCTAAACCGAGATGTTTTGATAGTGGGAGGGATAATATTTGGAGTTATTCCTTAGCCCATGACAGGCCCCCTTTCTGCGGGCCTTTATTTACATTCAGCCTTCGGATGTGATAACAGTGGGCATGCGCAGTGCTTGGGAAACTGCAAACAACTCGGCGGATGGACCCAACCACCCCCGCAGCCGAACCAAAACATATGCGAGTGTTAGCCAAAATCGATATTTTCCACGAAAGGCGCACAAAACCTCCAGCGGATAATTAAAAACCTGACAAAAATCAGGAAAAGTTTACATATTTCCCAAAGATTACAAGTTCTAGTGCTGGCCGGAGGGGAAATGCTGTGAAAGCGCTCAAGGTAACCATCAGCAGCCTAGTCATCAGCAAGGGAATCCATCCTGCCAGCGGCCATGGCCAAGCCCCACTCGGATGCGGATGCCTCTGGCCTGGGCTATGCCTACCAGCTGCCGTCCGGAGGCCTTCTCCTACGCCTAAAGTCGTCCCTCTCGCAGTTTAGCGATTTGTTCAGCGACTTTAGCAGGTACATCTCGCCCGCCTATCACCACGACCGCTGCGAGAGGTCCGTCCACATGCGGCTCTACTCGATGCACAAGCGCGAGTTTGTCATGGTCTTCCTGGGCTTCTTCACCTGCTTTGGACTGGGCATTGTCATTGGTTTGACGGGTCCGCCCATAACCAGCACCTCCTCACTGACTGCACAGCAAATACTGGCCAACACATCGCTGGCCCACAGTCCCACGGTCCTGGCCACCGGACCCTTTGCCATGAAGTCACCTCTGACCACCACCTACTCGCAGCAGCTTTGGCTAATAGCAAAGCTAGTGACTGACAACAACGATGGTGGGTCCTAAGCGGGGATCTATATTATTTTTATGGGTTTATGGTTTATGGGTTTTCCTCTTTCCAGATGAGCGTTATGACAAGAGCTTCCAGGTCAGCGTTTCCATCGATGGCATCAACGAACAACACAAGCCTCAAAATGTCCTGGGCTCTGGGATAGCTCATAATAGGACTAGGCATCTAGTCTGTGTGCGCAACGATTGCGAGGAGTTTACGTTGATGCATCTGGGATTTCTGGACTATGCTCACTACATCATCACAGTGCGTTTCTATGGGTTGGAGTCGTTTCACCAAAAGTACAACATACGCAGCATCACCTTTTACGTGAGTGGGTGGGAGTTTCCTTTAAAGCTTACATTTTAAAGCTTAATTTTCCTTTCAGTTTAAGACCTACAGTCCGGAGTTTACACAGATTGAGATCTGGTTTAGATGCATCTTTCTGCTCTTCACATTCATTGTTATAGTGAGTACAGTTGTGGGGTTTATTTGTACTATAAAAATAATGATATTTTATATTTCCTATCAGTGCTGGTATGCCCACACCCTGCGGAAATATCCCATCTACGATTGGTCCATTGAGCAGCGATGGTTGTCGGTTCTCCTACCTCTGCTTTTGCTCTACGACAGTGAGTACATCGTAGACTCTATTTCGTTTTATATACCCTGAGTTTTCTCCCTCTGCAGATCCCTTCTTTCCGTTGATATTTCTTATGAACTCCTGGCTGCCGGGAATGCTGGACGCCATTCTTCAGGCCACGTTCCTCTGCGCCCTGCTCATGTTTTGGCTGTGCATTTACCATGGACTGCGCCAGAACGAACGTAGCTTCGTCCGCTTTTATCTGGTCAAGGTGATTGTCGTCCTGCCCATTTGGCTATGTGCCATTGTGCTGGCCACCTGGGAGAAGTGCAACGAGCTAAGGGATCCCACATACAGTCACTTTGTGGATACAAAGAACTACAATGTAAGTGTTACAAATATTTTCTCTAAAAAACGTATACCTTTATAATCGAATTGGTTCTTCTTTCAGGGCTTTAAGATGTTCTTCTATATTGCCTGCTGCATGTATGTCTTGTATCTGGTGCTGCTGCTGCTTAGGGCCTATACCGAGCTCCGTTCCATGCCCTATTTTGGTGAGTGTTCAGCCAGATTTGACAGAATCTTGAATATACTTTCCCCTTCAATCCCCAGACATGCGCTTAAAGTTTCTCACGCTCCTCATGCTGTTCGTCCTGTCCATATCCATCACGGTGACCACCTGTCGCTTCGGCTTTGGCATCCTGGAGGACAACTTTGTGGCCTCTCTGAACACCACCTATCGCAGTTCGGCACAGTTCATGTGCTTCTATGGGCTGCTTAATTTCTACCTGTACACCATGGCGTATGTGTATTCACCCGATGGACGTTTTGCCCAGGCCGAGTTGGCGGTTACAAAGGATAATCCAGCCATCTCCATGATCGATGACTCTGATGAGGACGTGGTTTACGGCTCTGATGAGGAATCGCGGCGACCCCTTACCTCGGTGGGCGGTGGTGGTGGTGGAAAGAACGACTACGACAGCGATTAAGCGGAGATCCAAGAAGTTCCATGAGATTCCAAACACAATGTTCCAAAGCGCAAGCGAGGGTTATAGTGCTAGATAAGTGTACAAAATATTCTCTAAAATTATGCATAAATTAAACGAATTTCCGAAATTAATTATAGATATTTTAAATGGTTTTCCCACTCTTCTTTCGAATGATTATTTTACTAGATTTTTTATTAGATAATTAACACATTTCGCCAGATGTTTTCTCAAATTCAAGAGCTTAGCAAAAACCCTCTAGATGGCCTCGTTAATGCCCAGTTTCGTTTTGGTGAGCAGACCGGCGTCACCCATATCCGCATTGTAGCCAGGGCGGAACTTCATGCCAGGGGCCTAGAAAGAATGTCGAAGGATAATTATAATACAATAACATCTATCAGTAGAGAGACTTCAACTCACATTGTACCAGACATCGCGCCAAGCCTTGCTATCGTCGGCGCTGCGGAGCAACTCGGGCACGTCGAATCGCGGCACATTGAAGTAGTTCATCAGGTCGGGCTTCTCGCTGCAGTACTTAATACGGGCCTCGGTCCACTCGTTCTCCAGATGGAAGCGCCAGTCCAGCATCTTCTTGTTGTGAGAATCAGCCTCAAACTGGCCAAAGTCAATGCGCTCAATATCCTCCACCACAACCTCAGTCTCACCGCCGGCTGTCCAGTCGTAGATGAGCAGCTCGGCATGGGTGGAAATGTCCTTGAGGTACTGCTGCTTGTACAGCATCTCCACGTCGCGCAGGTACGCGTCGCTGAACACCTTCGACTGCACCTCGTAGTCCACGTTGCGGGCCTTGATCTCCTTCTTCACGGCCTCCACCGGCCGGTCCAGGTAGATGACCAAATGCGGCTTCAGCAGCTCACCGATGGTGTTCTGGCGCAGCTCGTTATAAACGGAACGGGCGCCACGGGACAGGTAGCCCTGGCGGAACATGGCCTCCATGAAGACAAAGTCCGAGTAGGGACTGCGTTCCAGAACAACGCCTTGTCCAGTGCTAAGGATGTGCTGCAGGGCATCAATATACTGCTCATAGCGCAGCATGTACATGCGAATCTGAAACTGGGCGGCCAGATCGTGATTCGGATCTAGGCAGAAGTTGCGGACATCGTAGCTGCGGCAGCTGGGGGGCAGTTCCGGGTCCAGCTTCCTCATGTCGAAGCCGTACGGATTGATGTAGATCAGGTCAAGATCCACGGCAGGGTAGTACTGCATGTCCAGTTCCTCGGCCAGCTCCTGGGCGAACTTGGACTTGCCAGAGGCAATGGGTCCCTCCACGCAGATCACCTTGGAGTTCTCGTCGAAGCGAGTGGAGGTCTTGTCGAAGAACGAGCTTATCACGTTGTACTTCTTCGTCTTGTACGGATATGGGGCCGCCTTTGGCACCCGGGGACCGCCTCGCATTGTCTTGCCGGAGATACTGCAACGCTGGAAGGCGGCGGGCAGGGCGTTCATCTGCGCCTGCAGTAGGTTGGGCGTCTGCGAGGCGCGGCTGGCGAGCCGCACCAGGCCAACGCGGAACACGGCGGTCATTCTATGGGCAGGAAGAGGAAAACGTCCGTTAGTACTGGATGGCAAATCAACAATAATAACAATAATCTTGTCTCCCTGGCAGCTGGTCGTGTGTTACATCACAGGAGCTCTGCAGGTTGTGCGGTAATTTGTGGACACCAGCTGTTGAGGCACTGGCTGCTATGGAGTCCACTGCCGCAGCCTGGTTAAGAGCTTCCTTGGGTCCTTTAGATTTCAGGTATTTTAGCGAAAAGGCCTTATTAAACTCACTTTTCAAGCAAAAAATCGGATGTCGGCCCAAAAACAACTTGGGGCTGTGTGGTCGGTGTTGGAAAACGACTCGGTTAGGGTTGTCATATGCTCGCGGTAAATATCGGATACAGAAATATTTAAGAACATTTTTTTATAGTACTAAATTTGGTTAAAAATTATACGAAATATATTAAACTATTTATTTATTAAAATTAAGGTTTTTTTTTGCATTTAAAGTAGCACGTGTCCAACATTGGGCAAAACTGGTTTATGGAGGTAGCCAGGACTAAACTATTGATTTAACGGTACCCAAATTAAATTAAATTCTAAAATGTTGAGAAATGCTTTGTGTTTTTAATCAAATTTATATATTTGAACGTTTTGGTAGCATGGGGCAATATTTTTTAAAATTATTTGACGCATCTCTGTGCTCCCTATTTTAGCCACTTTCAAGACCCCTGGCAACCCCGACACAACCTTGCTGCATTTTGGGCTTCAACGTTCTAACTATGAACTAACAAAAATATAAATCAAAATTGCACCCTTTTCTCTTTAGGACCACACAGCACACAGCCAGATTTTTGGAACACGAGGTACAGGTGAGTCCTGGCGGTGGAGCCTTTGCTCCGGCCCCGTACCATCGCCTCAGAGTTACGCAACTGAAAACTAATAGGATTTTCCTCGTGACACAGATTTCGTTATTGAGCAATCCCGGCCAACATGGGCAACACAGCGATTACCAAGGTCCAGATGGAGGCCACCAAGAGTGTGCCGGCAGACCACGCCAAGTACATGAGCGCAGGCGGCTCGCCACCGCCGGAGTGCCCCATGCATCAGAAGCAGGGCGATGCTAAATCCGCTTCGGCAGTGCCGCCACATCCCAAGATGCAGGCCGCCTCAGAATGCCCGGTGCAGCACGACAACAGCGATGTGAATCCGCTGAACATGATGCCGCCAGCTAACCAGCAGCCGGCACCGGACCAGCCCTTCCCACTGCCGACCGACCGTCAGACGTCGACCATTCCCAAGGTAACGGAAGACGGCACCGTCCAGTTCTGGCAGTATCCCAGCCAGCAGATGTTCTGGAACGCCATGTTGCGCAAGGGCTGGCGTTGGAAGAATGAGGACGTCTCGCAGAAGGATATGGGGGACATCATACGCATTCATAACGCCAACAACGAGCAGGCCTGGCAGGAGGTGCTCAAGTGGGAGGCGCTACACGCCAAGGAGTGCGGTAATCCACGGCTGAAGAGCTTCGGTGGCAAAGCCAAGGACTTTAGTCCGCGTGCCCGTTTCCGCAGCTGGCTAGGGTAAGAGTTGTCGAGTGATTTCTTGATTGGAACCTTCGACTAACCATTGGCTAAATTTCAGATACGAGCTGCCATTCGACAGGCACGACTGGATCGTCGACCGGTGCGGCAAGGATGTGCGCTATGTGATCGACTACTATGACGGTGGGCTGGTGGACAAGGACTACCGCTTCGCATTGCTAGACGTACGCCCGGCCATGGACTCGCCCAGTAACGTTTGGGATCGGATGTGCGTGGCCTATATGCGTTGGAAATACGAGTTGTCCGAGAAATTTGGTGGCCATGACAACGGCAAAGTGACCGCTGGCAGCGACTAGAAGAACCCATAGATATCTGTACAAAATCGGTTTAAGTTATCATCGAATGCAACTGGAGTTGTAGTTAAATGCGTTTAACAGTTGCAACACGTTTAGCACTGGAAGCCCCAGTTATGCTTCTGTATTTAAATAAAATTTATTTCTCACCTCTGAAAAGCCCAGATTAGCATGTCCCTAATTATTTAATATTTTAATTTATTTTATTCATTAAATATTTATTTAAATATCGATAGCAAAATTAAGAATTCCAGCGCTGCCAGTGTTGGAAAGCGCCATTCGTTTTCTTCCTCTTCTTATGCCCCCCATTACGTGAGAATCAAGTTTACTCGCTGGAGAACTAAGAGGATACCCCCGATCCAATTCGATCAGTCATAAATGCTAGCTGCCAGAATGAGGTTCGTGCAATATCTGCGCAAAGGTGACCTGGCCAAGCGCCTGGGCCTGCTGGCCGAAGATCAAAAGTCCCTGGTGGAGCTCTCCGGTTTGGAGGGAGTCCCCAGTGATCTGAAAACCCTTATTGCTCAGAACCCCAACCTGGAGGAGCTGGCTCAGAAGGCGGCCAAGCAGCCGCAACTTGAGCTGAGCAGTGACGTCACTCTGCTGCCCCCAATCAGCGATCCCGGCAAGATCATCTGCATTGGTAAGTGGGGGATACATGACCTTGTAATGGTTACAATAGAAGGTTCTTCTTGGCAGGATTAAACTACCAGGACCACTGTGACGAGCAGAACAAGCCAGCGCCCAAGGAACCCATGTTCTTCAGCAAGTTCAACAACGCGCTGGTGGGTCCCAACGATAATGTCATCGCCCACACGGCCAGCAGTGTACGTAGAGTGCCAGATAACGAGATATGTTGAGTAGCTTCATCAGATTACACAAAACTTTCCACAGAAAATCGACTGGGAGGTGGAGCTAGTCTGTGTCATTGGCAAGGTCGCCCGCAAGGTGCCCAAAGACCAGGCCATGGACTATGTCTTTGGTTTTAGTGTGGCCCAGGACATCTCTGCCCGCGACTGGCAGAAGGAGCGCAACGGCGGTCAGTTCCTCATCGGCAAGTCGATGGATACTTTCCTGCCGCTGGGTCCCTCGGTGGTGCACAAGAGCCTGGTTAAGGATGTTTACAATCTGCAGCTAAGGACCTGGGTGAACGACGTGGAGAAGCAGAACGGCAATACCGGTAATCTGATCTTTAAGCTGGACGACGTTATCAACAGGTTGTCGGACACCATCACTTTGCTGCCCGGCGATATCATCGTAACGGGAACGCCCAAGGGCGTGGGTATGCACCGCAATCCCCCAGAGTTCCTAAAGCCCGGCGATGTTGTCAAGTCGGAAATTGCCGGACTGGGCAAGCTCTGCAACAAGGTCGTGGCCCCTTAAGTTCGGCATTCCTTAATTATTTGTTGTATTTGATTTGTTAAACACTGGCTTTTGAAACTTGAGTTTTAATGGGCATTAAGCTGTAAGCTTTTTACCCCCACAATTATTTAAATATTTCTTTTTTTTCAATATAAGAAGTAATGACATTTAATGAACAACGGGCTAGACCTTGAAGGTCTTCGACTGGGTGGCAAAGTACTCGTCCCTACTGTGATAGGGCCGGTAGGGATCGTTAATGTAGTGCTTAGGCCGCCTCCAGTAGCTGGTGACCATCTTGTCCAGCAGCCAGCTCTGCGTGGCGTTGGTGAAGACGTGCTGCTTGAGGCGCCGCCGCAGGGCGCCCGACTTCTTGAACAGCTTCTTTTGGCGGCCGGAGTGGGTCCGTATCCAGGCGCCCCATTCCAGACGCTTGAATCGCTTAAGCACCGCCTTGACAGTCTTCCGTTTGCCCTTGATCAGCGAAAACTTGGTCACGCTTCGGGTGCTTGGCGGAGATCCTGTGGCTCCCAGGCTAATCGGTAGTTGAAGGAAAGGTGTTGGTGTTAAAGAGGGGACTGGTAGCAAACTGGGCCGGGCTAGAGTAACAAGGCTGGCACGTTGTGTCTGCTGGACCAGGGGAACCAGCGGAGTAACTGCCGGCGACTGACGGCAAACGCTGCGCAGTGCTGTAAATAATTAGGAATGCTTAAACCAAAGTCTTCTTTATGGCCAGAAAGAGTCCACTCACCGCTGGCCACAAAGGTTCGCAGCATTTCACTCACTTAAAACGGCAAAACTCAAAATAAACCACAAATTCTTTTCGTGTCGCGTAACAGCAGCCGATCAGCTGTTTGACTGTCCGACGTCTGGCAACGCCACAGGCTCGAGTCACATCGTTTTCGGTCCCGAGCCAGCCCTGCCAGACTTTTCGGTCCCGCGCCAGCCTTGCCAGACTGCGAATGTCCAAATTCACACAAATTGCTCAGAAGGCTGGGTTAACACAGCCAAAACCCAAATTCCGGTGTCCCACAGACGATTTGTGACTCCGCTGTACGCGCCTCCGGACAGAGCGACGCCCACGCAACACCATGTATCGGCTAGCGGTGCGAGACCAGTGCAAGTGCGCCCTGCAGGTGAGTTTTTTTTTCGGTCCGGCGGCGGCTATTTGATAACGTGAAAATCGATCGTCACGTTGCCCCCTTCGCCCTGCGTTTGCAAAAATACAACAAGAGGCGCTGGTTATGTCATCCCCCAAGCCCAGGAATTGGCCGAAAAGTTCCAAAATTCCAGTTGGGCCAGGACCCATGATGTCCTGCGGCTGCCACTTAAGGGGCTGGGGCTAGTTAGTCGTGGTGAAAGTCTGGCTAAGTTGTACTTCATCCGGTGCATCCGATTCCACAGCGTTCGCTGCAGCAGACCACGACAAACGGCAGGCAGTTCAGCAGCAGCGGGAGCAGCAACAACAGCAGTGGAAATGGGAGCAGGGAGCAGGGCAGGAGAGGATACTATGGCCTGCCACCCCCACCGAATATGCGCGAAGCCGGCTTCGGCAAAGTGGTGCTCTTTGTCTCCCCCCTGGCCGCCGTTGGCGGAGTCATCACCTACGCCAAGTAAACGAATATGAAAAAATAAGCTTTTTTCTAAAGAAATCACTAACCGAAATACGAATCCTCTCCAGGTACGACGATGACTTCCGCAAAATGGTCGAGAACAAAGTTCCCGGAGCCGGCTCTGTCATCAAAGTAGCCCTGCAGGAGGAGCCACCATTCAAGGGGGTCACAAAGAGTGTCAACGACCAAATCGATAAGGTCAAGTCAGGCTTTAATTCGGTCACCTCCACCGTGGACTCGGTTACCTCCAAGGTAACTGGTTTGTTCGGCGGCGGCAGCGGAGATGACAAGTCGAAGAAGGCCAAGGCAGAACCCGCAAAAACCGAGTCAACACCAGAGAAGAAGTCCCAAGCGACGTCTCAGGCCACCAAGGTGGAAACAAAGCCAGTGGCGAAAGCGGAGAAGGTGGCTACGCCGCCGCCTCCAGCCGCCAAGCCCAAGGAAGAACCCCTGCCCCGCGAGGTCGTTGAGCTGGAGAAGGCCATCGAACTGTCGGCCCAGTTGGCAGTGAAGGAGTATAACAACGCCATTAGTGTGCTGAAGGGGTATGCTTTACCTATTTGTATTTAAGAATGATTTCATCATTCAGTGCGTGGTATTTTAAGATATTTTAGCAAATTGCATAAATTGTTAATTTTAGAAAAGTCTTCTTGTGGCTGTCATAAGATTTCTCCGTTGGCTTAACGTACTCTTCTTCTGTTTCTCTTTATAATTATGGCTAATTTTCTTTTACTTTTTAGCTTCAACGAAGACGTACGCAAGGTGGTCGATAAGGCGGTGGAGAATGGCGAGAACTCGGTGTGGACTACCCTGAGGAATCGCGCTGGTGCTCGTGACACGGCAGTGGCCACGGCAGAGCGTGCAGCTCGTCAGGCCCAGGAGAAGATTGGTAAGCCTAGAGACTCTTTTTCCAAGAGATGGAGTAACGCTCATCGTCCCCCCAGTTGCCTGCGAGATCGCCTTAAGTGCGGCTGCCACAGCGGAGAACAGCAAAAAGGTGGAGGCGGTGCGCGACAAGATCAAGAAGCTGGTGGATCACATAGCCAACGTCAAGGACGAGCTCTACCGGCACAAGGACACGGCCAGCGTGTCGGACAAGTACTGGCGCAGTGTGGAAAAGGCGCGCAACTATTTCATCGACGAGATCGAGTCTATTTTCCCCGGCCTCAGTCTGGCAGATAAAAAACTCAACCTGTCAAAGGAGGACCTCGACTTGTTTATCCTGCACGCCTACACCCATGTCCTGGCCTATCAGAAGGAGCTGCAGCGTCTGCAAACCGATGGTGAGCTTCGCTTGAAGCGGGCTATTGACTCGGTTCGCGGCGACAATGATTCGGAGGCGCTGCGTGCCCAACTGGAATACCATTTGGAGGCCGAGAGGCGCAAGTTGGCCGTGGAGAGTCAGAAGAAGATCTTCCAGATCCATGCCGAGTCCGACAAGCAGCTGCGTATGCAGCTTAAGAAGCAGGCGGAGGCCCATACCGATCACATCAAGGATATCGTGGCGCAGCGGGAGACAGATTTAACGCGCAGCTTTAAGCGCGAGTTGGAGGATAAGTTGGCTGCCGAGAAGGCCAACTACAAGCTTCAACTGGCTGCCATGCTTGGCAAGCTGCGTGGCATGGATGCCGCACTAGCGGGTGAGTTGAACTGGATTCTTTTTTGGGCTTTGCTAGGAGTATTTTGGCTAGACTTGTAATTGATTCTTAAACCCCTAAAAAACATGCTGCTTGCTTAGAGATAGAGGATGAGTTTCAAGGTATTCTCCCCGTAGAAATGATCTCTGTAAATTAAACTTCTCTTCTGTTGACACATTTTTTCTTTCGCCATTTCCCAGAGCGTGCGGATGCGGAACGTACTGCCAATCAGGCACAGGCCTTGTGGGCCGCCTGTCAAGCTCTGTGGGCCTCGGTGCGCACTGCCACTCCTGGAGTTCACTACTCAGAGAAGCTGCGCCCTCTGAAGAACGAGATCAATGCCATTTCCAAGGTGGCGGGTAAGTAGAATATAAATTTAAACAAAACTCCGGTTAATGATAGCAAAAAATCACTTGCAGAGGGCGACGATCTGGTGGCGGCTGTGCTGCAGAGCATGCCGAAGGAGGCTCAGGAGCGCGGTGTCTATCCCGAGGATGCACTGCGCGAGCGTTTCCTCAATGTGGAGCGTGTGGCTCGTCGTCTGGCCCTGGTGCCGGAAGAGGGTGCCGGCCTGCCTATTTATTTCCTGTCCTATCTTCAATCGCTGTTCATCTTGCGACCCGATAATCCCATTTCCAAGGACGAACTCGAAAACAAACCTTTCGACTACAGCAAACTGGACACCTATGATATCCTAAACCGGGCCAGGTGAGAGGGTAGCTTCAATAAAAGTTCAATTTTTCTATTTTTTTTATATCTCAAAGGTATCACGTGGACCGCAGTGACTTCCTGCAGGCGTTAAAGTACTTGAATCTACTGCAGGGTGCGTCCCGCAAGATCGCCGGCGAGTGGATGAAGGAGGCGCGCCTCATGCTGGAGACCCAGCAGGCGGCCAACACCCTGATGGCTCACGCCGCTGCCAGTGGCCTGTTGTATTTGTAGACTACGTCCCCTAATCCCATCCTCCAGAAACACCCAGAGGCACTTTATGATTTGTTATTAGTCCAGATAAAAGATAAAACAGCAATGTGTAATTTGTCATTTGAGAGAGAACACCGTTTAAATGAAAAGAAATAATCCTTATATATTTGTAAAATTTTGTTTAGCTTCAATTATACAAATTATATTTAGAGAAACTACATTGAATTCACAAGAAATACACACCTTTGGGGGACATCTTGGCGGCTCTGTTGAATGTCTGCAAGAGGAAGCCGAATCAAATTGGTTGAACATTAATCAAAAAGCCGTCTTATTCTTGAGGGTAACGAGAGCGTTGGCCATTGCTCATCGATCTGGTTGGGTTAGATAATAATCCACCTTCAATGGTCATATCCTTAGCAAACATTGTGATTAGTCAAGGAGACACGTAGCAATATTATAGATCCCCATCCGGCATAAATCTGTTCCAAAACTTATCAATAAATATATATGATTAGTGACATTTTATTGGGGTTTTTATTTTATCATTAAAAATATTTGATTACATTTTTTTTTTAAATTTTGTTTTTAATTTTTATTAAAGGTTAAAGTAAAAGCTTTTTAATAGAAATGAAATTTATAGATGTTTTTTTCAGATCAATTAATACAAATAGCTTTGGAAACTAACATGTAGTTATTGAATTTATATTTTATAAAGGTTTTTAAAAATCAAATGTATTGTCATGAATCCCAGTAAGGATTATTTTTATCCTGTCTCATGTCTTAATGTTGAAAATAAGAGATAAATAGATTTAGAAACTAAAAAACCAATTATATAGCTATAATTATTTTGCTTATTAAACTTATGATCCAGTCTAAAAAATAATTAAATCAGAAAAAGTCCTTAAATATTTTTCTCACGAACCATCACCCTGCTAAAATCGCGTTGTCCAACACTGGCCGTTGCGGTGCCGCAGGCTGCAAACGTAGCAGTGCTGCCAGCCCTGTGAGCCATAAAAAAGCTATACTAGCTTTTGAAAATAGGCTTTAAATGGTTATTGCGTTGCTAAAACAGAAGCTTAAGTTAACACCACTTATTTTCGTAATAAATTTAATTTAAATTTAAAATAAATTTAAAATTTCATAAGCGTTTTTGTTTTCACATGTGCCAGATCTAGCCTAAAAAAAAAGCTAAATTGACAACACTGGCAATCAGCTGTGGTTGAACTTTTCGGTGGCCCCGGAAAAAAGAACTCGAAATCCGCGATTCTATCTAATTCCCCGTGCCCACCAGGATTACGTCCTAATTTTTGAGCACCAGTCGAAGCACTAGGGAACCGAGGAGCAACATGTCGATGCTGGCGAGAACAGTTGGACGCACCTTTATGCAGGTAAACCCGCTGCGGGTCCGGGAGCCTCTTACATAAACGGTGGCCCCGCGACGCTGTGCGAATATTCAGTGAGCGCTGGGCAAGCTCTTTTTTTTTGAGGTTATAATCCTAGCCAGCAGCTTGCTCGCATCCCTCTGATCCGTGTCCATTTCATTCTATTCCGATTTAGGCTGCGGCAGCTCGTAGTCTGAGCACCACGTCGGTCGCCAGGGTGAGTTCCTACTGCAAATCACTGCCCCAAGGCGGATAACTAATGGGATAAATTGCTTTTGCAGGATGCGTACGGCGCCAACAGGACCACCTGCACATTGATTCCCGGCGATGGTGTGGGTCCCGAGCTGGTCTACTCTCTCCAGGAGGTCTTCAAGGTAGCTATGTCTAACTCGTTAATGATTATATTTAAGAATTAGGGTTGAATATCGAGTGAATAAGTCAGGAATAAAATATTTTGTCTAATATCATATAAAAACTATCATAGGCTTTTATATAAAGATTTTTTTAAATTTAGAATACGTAGAATTTAAAGTTCAACATTTGTATTTTATTTGTTATCTATCGATTTATTGCTCACTTCACAATCAACATTTAAATTTAAATTAATTAGGCTTTTAACATTATCAAAAAATCTAAGTTTTATATCTTTTTAAAATTCCCTATAAAATACTACAACATTTTATTTACTCAGCTGACATTTGGAACCCTAAATAATTATTTACCATGTGCCAATTTCCAAGTTCCAAGTTTCCAAGTTTAAACAAGTTACTTGCAAGCCTATTACTTAATATTCACGAGAACGGAAGCAGTACTTAAATTATATAAACCAAAATATTGCCACTTATCTGTATCGTAAAGCTAAGTGATAAGAGTTTTAGATTTATGGGGCCTTTTTAATTTTAAGTGGAGTTTTCTGATTTATTTCTTAGTTTATGTATAACTTAAAGTATTCTTTTCCTTTCTATATATTTTATAAATTAATTTATATTAAAACTATTGATAATAATGTGTTATAATTTAAATAACTTAGGCAGCCAGTGTTCCTGTGGATTTTGAGTGCTATTTCCTCTCCGAAATTAATCCCGTGCTGAGTGCCAAGCTGGAGGATGTGGTGGCCTCCATCCAGAAGAACAAAGTGTGCATTAAGGTGAGCTTAAATCCTACAAAACGTTCAAAATAAAATCTTACCAGCTCCGATCTCCTGCAGGGCATCTTGGCCACACCCGACTACAGCAATGTGGGTGACCTGCAGACGCTCAACATGAAGCTCCGCACCGATCTGGACCTGTACGCCAACGTGGTCCATGTCCGCAGTCTGCCCGGTGTTAAGACCCGCCACACCAACATCGATACCGTGATCATTCGCGAGCAGACCGAGGGCGAGTACTCGGCGCTGGAGCATGAGTCGGTGCCCGGAATCGTTGAGTGCTTGAAGATTGTCACCGCCAAGAAGTCGATGAGGATTGCCAAGTTTGCGTTCGACTATGCCACGAAGAACCAGCGGAAGAAGGTCACTGCCGTGCACAAGGCCAACATTATGAAGCTGGGCGATGGCCTCTTCCTCCGCTGCTGCGAGGAGGTCTCCAAGCTCTATCCACGTATCCAGTTCGAGAAGATGATTGTGGACAACACAACCATGCAGATGGTGTCCAATCCCAACCAGTTCGATGTGATGGTCACGCCCAATCTGTATGGCGCCATCGTTGATAACTTGGCCAGTGGCCTTGTTGGCGGTGCTGGTGTGGTGGCTGGTGCCTCCTACTCGTCGGAGACCGTGGTCTTTGAGCCGGGTGCACGTCATACATTTGCCGAGGCTGTAGGCAAGAACGTGGCCAATCCCACTGCCATGCTGCTGTGCGGCGTGAAGCTGCTCCGCCACATCAACCTGCCTACCTACGGCGAGGTAATCCAGAATGCCATCAACAAGGTGCTCAATGACGGCAAAGTGCGTACCAAGGATCTGGGCGGACAGTCGACCACGCAGGACTTCACCACCGCCGTTATCAGGAACATGGCCTAGGCGATGACGCAAAACCTCAACCACCATCGATGGGCAACAGCATTGGCGCTTATATAATTGACATTAGACAGTTTGTGTTGTTGCCGCAGCTACATTTGAATTGTTGAAAAAATACCCCGAAAGTTCTTTTAGTTTCCTTCTACGTCCAATTTTTTATTTGTCCCTGATGTCTATATCTGCAATGCATTAATTTTGAGTATTATTTCCGGCGAATATTTAAGTTTAGTCCAATTGAACCGCCCTGAAAGAGGAAAACTTGCCCCGAATCCAAAGTCTTGAATCCTTACCAATTGGCAGTAACACATTGATCCTTGATTATGTTGTAATTATTTACGTATTATTTTTCCTCATTTTATTGATTTTTCAAAAATCCCTCTTCGACTTTATGTTAACCTTGTTGAAAAGCAAACAAAAATAAGAAACAAAAACACTGATATTGCTAAACCAATTTAACTGATAGCGGACGGCCTGGAGTGGAACCACTCCACTGGAGCTGTGAGAAAGATAACAATAAACTCAAATCTAAATTAATTATTATTTAAAAGCCATTGTCAGTCAGTTTGAGCTGTCTAAATTTTAAGTAATACAAACAAATATAAAACCCAAAAAAAAAGTCGGAAACTTTATTGTGAGCTAAGCTGAGCAGCACTTGCTATGGCGAGCAGCAAAAACGCCCTGCAATCCTTCTGGGAAAGGATGTTCCAGGACTATACGAAGCATGTCAAGTACTTGCAGACCCAGAACCCGACCTGGGAGCAAATGGTAGAGCTGGAAAGATACCGCCAAGCTCTTCTTGATTTTAGATTTAATGGCAAGTGTTCCAAGCGTCGGTAAGTATGAACTCACTTTCAAATTCAATTGCAACTCTTGAGGTCGTCGATATATTTGGCTAGTGAGGGGATACGTATGAAGGAGATGCAAGAGTATATGGAAAGCCAGAAAACAAACCTGAAAAGAAAGTTATCTCATGGCAAGTAAGTATTTAAAACCTAAACTCTTGCTTTTCTAAGCCTTTCCTTTGGAAGCAACACACCTCGAGTTCAGGAGCAGGCACTTCGCAGTTTAATTCCCGCCCGTAAATTATTACAACTAAACGACAGAGTCGTCCGTGCTTTAAACTTTAATTCATCTGCCTCCGATCGCCTGAAAGAGCTGGCCAGGAGTAGAACAAATCCCCCGCAATGTGGGGCCAAACCCTGGAAGCTGACCAGCGCCATGAGGTCTTTTGAGCCCAGTGAACGCCTGCTGAGTTTGGCCTGCCACAGAACACCTTTTAGGGAGCCGCGTAACCCGTTTAAGGTTTCCTCAAGTGCCCTAATTTACGAAGGTTGAAATAAGATTTTATAATTATTATTTAAACTTTATTTAATATTACTTCCCATGTGTGTTGGCAGCTACTCCAAGGATTCTCCGTTTGGCAGAGCTAAACAAAAAGAATGTAAACCGGCACCAGAGAGGTCCGTCAAAGCCATATTGGTTCGGACCCACACATCGGATTTGGGAACTGGCTAAGCCAAGGGTGCGCGAGGATGGAATATACCGCAAAACTCCCTTCAAGGTAGCCGAGGGTGCCCTAAGGGCCAAAGCCTCGCCACGTGTCTTACAGCTAGCAGAGCCAAGAATGTAAAGTGCAGCTCCAAAGTGCAAGGTCAACGTGGATTGCGGGGATCGGAAAATAGTCTAGGAAGAATATCCTATTATTTTCACATCCCTGTAATCGGTTCTTAGAAAGAAATTTGTGATTTTTAATACAATAAAATCCCCAATGGCCATAAAAGGTGATAGCGATCTAAAGATTACCATTTTTAGATCTCTTTTACCCTTTATAAGCCGATTGGAGTTGGCCGATATAAATGTTTAACTTTTGAATAAACAAGGTTTAATAAACTAGCGATTCGTACTTTAAGAAACTAAAAAACAAAGTAAACAGTAATAGTTACAAACCAAAATACAAATTTAATGGGAAACTTAAAACCAAACGTAGCCGAAATGCAAAAACTATAATAACACCAAAACTTATTGAAGAACGGATGACCTTCATAGCCACATCTATCCGCCCTTAGGCTTGGCCAACTCGATGAGACGCGGAGAAGCCTTGGCCTTGAGGGCGGCTGGCGAAATGGCGAAGGGATTCTCCCGGATGTGAGTGTTCTCGAACTCCTTGGGCTCCGCCAGCTCCTTGATACGCGACGATGCCTTGTACTTGAGGGCATTGGGAGAGATGCTAAAGGGATTTTCCTTGACGTCAGCCAATCCCTGGTTGGCATCGCGCGTCTTCAACGGTTCGGACATTTCCTTGATGCGGGCACTCGCTTAAATATGGAACAACAAACAATGATTAGTATATGTATAAATAAAATAAAATATTAAAAAATATTATAAAATATAGAAAGAGCTATGAATGTTATGAATATAAAAATGACTTACGTTTATAGCGAAGGGCATTTGGCGACACTTTCTCCGGAGTCTCGTTGATGTGGACATTATCCCTTTGGATATGCGCCGCAATCATCTTTAGTCTCCTGGACGCCTTGAAGTTTTTCATATCGGGAGTTAGCTCCCACTTCGGCTTCACCTCCTCCACATAGGCCCTGGGACTGGACAAAGTCTTCAGACGCGCTTTGTCGACCTCGCCTGCCTTCCTTTCCGGCTTCGGTGGCTTTGGGGGAACCTTCGGCGTGGCCAGTTTTGCGATATATTTGTCGTGCTTGGCCAACTGCTTCTCCGTCTTCTTCTTTTTCTTTTTACTGAAGTTGGTTATCAATTTGTTACAAAATGTGTGAAAAAATGTACATTATAAGAAGAGTTAGTTGAAAATATTTAAAATGGTATTATCATTGGTAAATTATATTGAAATCTGATGTAAATTCTTAGGAAGTTGTTAACACATCGAAATGCGAATTTATGAATTTAAAAATCTAAAAAAAATTCACTTACGGCTTTGTTAGGGGCTGGGAGTTGGCCAGTCGGCTGTAGAGCGACATATAGCTGTAACGCAGCCACCTGTTCAGGATGGACTCGCCGATCTCGTCGCCGGCAAGGATTGCAACCCGGCGTCGATAGAGCAGACGTCGTACGGTTGGCAAGGCCAGCTGCTCGGTGCGCGTATAGCTTTGCGCCTGGCAGGGATACACCATTTCGATGGACTTGGTGAATGGACAGGGGCACTTGGGCACGAAGCGAGACACCAGTACCCTGGGCACAGCCATCTCCATAAGGCGGCGTCGCTTCACGAACATGCGCTCATGGCGCCGCTTAAGCTTCTCCAGTTCCTTGGAGATGTCGCGCTCAAAGCACTCGGCATCGCTGGGAATTGGATCGCTAATGCGACAACAGTCGGGACGGACAGAGTCCTTCAGTTGCTGACATGTGGTCATTCTAAGGATTTCCGAATTTTGGGGCTTTACTTTACAAAAAATTTAGCAATGTTCGCTTTTTTTTTTTAGCTTTTTATAAAAACATCTATTTTATCATCTATCTGTTCGAATCGAAAATGAACTACATTTGTGAAATTTCAAATTATATGTGATAAATTTAAAGGCAAAGCCAACTTGCTTTTAAGTTTTTATAGAAACATTACTTTTTTACGTGACTATTTTTATGTATTTGTGGATCTCTTTTTGATTTGTAATAACTTAGTATGGTAAAGTAGTGGGCTACACTCATAAAAATTGTTGTATATATTTAAGGGAAATCACCATTAAGAAAAACTATAATTTTGCAGATATAATTCCCAACTGGTTTTAACATTTCTGGAGAGAAATGAAGGTTGCCGGTCTTAGGTCTGGTCTAATGAGCATAAATTAAATTAAGAAAAAATTACCCTTAAATAAAACAAGTTTTCTTTAATGTTTTATTAATGTTTTATTGACAGTATTCATAAAAATACTGAGAGTATGCTCCAAGTTCACATCATTACAAGTTAATAGTTTTGTTTGGGGTTTGTATTCCATCTGTCCCATCATCATCTGCATGTTGTTCATTTCTGTAGTTTGCTTTTCTGACATTATTGTATACACCTGCTATTTTCTGTTCACATATACACAAATCTTATATTTTTTGCAAATTTTTGCCTGTATCCTTGTATCTGCCTCAGCTCGTCGTCTGCTTTTATACTTTTTTACAATGTTTTTGCCATACATTTGATTTAGTTCGAAATGTTTAGTTTTTTGTTTTCCTCATTGTGAATATTTCCAACTAGTTCTTCTTGTTGTTCTCTCAATTTTCGTTTTTGTTGCAATTCAATTGGAATTCAGCACATCAGCACATGTTGTTGTTGCTCTGTTTTTTACTGGCTTTTAATTTATTCAGTTAGACTTTGATTTTGTTTACGAACAAAATAACTTGGTTAAGTGAAATCAAAGTGGCAAGCATAATGTTAATAATAATTGTTATACACTCACATCGAACTTATGCAATACACTCATACATATACAAATATGTACTATAAATTTGAATTTAGCATTTACTAGGTCATTTGTTTTGTTTTTTATTTTTTGTTGACAAAAATTTTGCTAATTTGAATTTACTTTATTCATGTTGATTTTTGGGTTTATCATTGCTCGATTTGTAGAAAGTCCCCAATCGATTTCGTTATTTACACCAAAGTAAAATAATAATTAGATCTATGTAAATTAAGCGGTTTCCTCAATTATGTATATTTTTTGTGTTTTGTTTTCGACATTGCCATCCAAATATGTATGCATGTTTTTACACTTAATCCAGTTTTTAGTTTAAATTTTCCTCTTGCATATCGTATACAGTTTTGCCTTACAAATAGAATTTCTTTTGTTTTTGTTTTTTCAGAAATATCCAAATTACGTTGCCTGAAATAATTTCTGCTGCGCTCTTTTAGATAATTTTGTTCCTTTAAATTTATTTTTTTGACACGCTAAATATATATAATATATATGTATATAGATTACCAAAAGGGTTGTCTCCTCTTTTATGTACACAAATACAATTTCCTTGGTTTTTTGTTAAATATAATTTTGAAAGTTTTTTGAATTTTTATTCATGTTTCCTTGTTAATTTTCTTGCATTTTTCATTCTGTTAAGATATGCCTCGAAACTTGTTTTAGTGTTTGTCCGCTTTAGTTTTAGATGTTTATACATTTTAGTTTGATTTACCAGTTGTTCTTTAATTTAAATCATTTCTTCTTTAGTTGGTCCCTGAAGCTGTGTTGAGTTTAGATATACGATTCCTTTGGCTCGCCTGAACTAGTTTTTGCCGTTTTTAGAGTTTTCCCGGGGTAAAAATGTCGAAAGTGAAGTGAAATAAAAACAAAATAAAACTCAATTAACTGGAAAGTAAAAATTCAATTGCCTTTGTTGTTGTTCTGTTGGTAGTTGTTCTTGTTGTTGCAATCCAATTGTTTATTTGCTCATCTCTTGCATGTGAAAATGGAGCAAATATTGGCCATGTTAGAAAGACTTAGGCTCCTCCTATCAAGGCCAATATTTACTTTGGGCTATTGTTCAGTTTATAGATAATTCTGTCATCTGTCAATTATAACTATTGCATATAATGGTATTAAGTATCTTGTTTGCAATTGTTAGACTGTTGTGCTTAATTTAATATTCATATTTTGTTCGTTTCTTAATCTCTGCATTGTGTCTCTCTGATCGGTAAAAGTGTGTGAAACGAAAGCCTCCTGTGGTAATAAATGGAAATAAAAAGCGAATTGTTGAACTAAAATATTTCTGTTTTTATTAATAAACGTTTCGTAATTCGTAAATATATTGTATATATCTTGTTTTTATTTTATTTTTTTTTGCGTTTAAAACATAATAAGTAAATAATAGAGATAACGAAAATTATAAACTTAATCTTAGTTATGTGTCTGTGTGTAATATATAATAACAATTATGCACGCTTTACTAAACAAAGAATTTTGCTGCTGTAAATATTAATTTAAGGTTTACAATATATATTTAGTACATTTATTTTTTGTGTGTAATTCAAATTAAGCGAAAATTTCAATATTATTATAAATTACTTAATCAAATTAAACATGTATATTTTGGATTTATTCGCAGTACAAAATAAATTTCACATGTTTTGCTGCAGTTTAAGTTTTTCTTCACTTTCTGTTTCTGTTTTAAATCTCTGTTGTTGTTTTTATTTTTGTTTTTCTGTCTTAGCTTTAATGCTAAATACATTTTGTGTACTTATGGGCTATTGCTAATAATAATGCGAATTTTTTTTATTTGCTTATTGGCTTTTGTTTTTATTTTTTTCTCTTGATTCTGTAGTGATTATGTAAATGCAAAAAAAAAAGACTGCTTTATATCTGTTCTATTTCTGTGTTTGTAGTTTACCGAAAGTCTAATTTTATGAATTGTACTTACATCAGTGGTTTGTTTGTTTGTTTGTTTGTAAAAATAATGAAAAATATTCTCAAAACTTTTGCCTGGCTAAGATTTAGGGTTTGTTTTGTATTTGCTTAGTGGTTGTTGTTTTTAATGCCAATTGCTTATAACTATTGAAGTTGTTGGTTTGATTGATTAATTATGAATATTATTTTTCTAGGGCTATTGTTGTTGTTGTTGTTGTAACTGTAACTGTGTGGAGTTGATGTTGTTGTGTTTAAAGTTAATAATTGAAATAAAAATTGGTTTCTGTTTGCTTTATATATTTTTTGTTATTATTTTTAAAATTGTTTTGCCTTTGCAGTTCGATTTCGTGCTGCTTCTTTTTTCTGATTCGGGGATTATGATTTCTGATTCTGCTGAGTCTGTAGCTGTATCTGTATCTGTATCTGGATTCTATCTTGTCATTGCTAATTATGTGGCTATTGTTTATGGTTATGTGGCTATGAATACAAATCTGTTTTGAAAATCGGCTTCTGTGTTTGTTTGGGTTTTGTTTTTATTAAAGTTAATTGCTGTGGCTATTTCTATTTTATTTGTGGCTATTTAAGTTCTGTAGTAAGAGTAGTACTATTGTTTAATAAAATTGTGGTTGCTGCTTGGTTGTTGTTGTTGTTGTTGTTGTTGTATTTGGGATAGAAAAAAGAAAAGTACAATCGACTTTAGGCTGTTTGTTTGGATTTATATCTGAGCTGCTTCAAGCTTTTCGCTTGAATATTTATCCATACATTAATTAATTATATAGTTTAAGTTGTTTAATTCTTTTGTAGTTGTTGTTTTTTTTTTCAATTTTTAGTTCAATTATTTTTTTGGGCTATTGTTGGTTGTTGTCTGTGCTGGTTGTTGTCACGGCTGGGCTATTGTTTCTTAGCAGTTTTCGCTTGGTTTTGCTCGGATCTTTGCTGATCTTTAGTTGTTTCGGTCGCTCAAGTTGAACTTAGGAGAAAAGTTTTGAGTTGTGATGCTTTTTCGACAATGAGAATGTGAAGAATTTGGCTTTGAGTTCAATAGATTTTGATTTCTTTTTGTTAGGTTGAAGCGTGCGCATAATAATTGGAGGAAACCTAGGCGTAGTTTAAGACCTATTTTAAAAAAAGAGTTATGTGCACTTAAAATGATTTTTGATTTTCGATTCTTGCTTGATTCATCATCATATATCCTTCTTGGCATTTTGGCAAAGAAAGCTTGTAAATTAAACATATTAATCGTTAAATGTTAATATATTTGTTGTTGGTTGCTTGGTTTTGTTTGAAACAATTGCACTATAGTTCAAATGATGTTGCCCATTTAAGAAGTCAATAAAAATAGAGAATAATAATAATGCTAGTAATAATAAGTATTTAGTAATAAAAAATAGAGGAGAATACGATACAAAAATGTCTTCTAATATGTACAAACCATAGTAAATCGAGGCTAACAACGCGCTAATCAATTAGTCGTTATAATAATAATATAATAATAATTAGAATTACGATTACATAATATATATGTATATAGTGTGTGTATGTGTGAAAATAGAAGTTTGATTGATTTATGTGAAGAAATTTTGGATTTGCCTACAGTTATAGATCGTAACTAATGGTAATCATCATCGTTTCGTAATCGTAATCATTTTAGGCGCTAAACTAAGGTCGAAAATAAACTCTAATTACCATATATATGTATATGCACTTATATTCAGCAAATTTTGATTCGCATTGAACAAATTAGATTAGATTTTTTATACACAAATGTGAGCAATTTCTTTAAGCACGCTAGAAACTCTCTCTATCTTTCTGTTATTTATCTCAAACCACTTTAAACAATTATATTATTAATATATCAATTTTAGCTTGTTTCGGTTATCGTTTTGTGTTTTTTTTTTTTTACAAATATTAACTATTATGTTGTAGTAAAACAAAGAATAAGTAATGTATGGGTAATCAATCTTGTTTCTCTCCGAAAAAATAAAACACGTACCTGAGCGTTTTTGCATGCCCACCCCGAATCGAAGTCGAAATATTGAAAATATTCGAAATATGTAAGTCAGGTGAACATGCAAAAATTCTATACAATTCAACATTCTCAAGCTGTTACTCAAATTACACTCGATTGGTTTGTTTTCATTCATTTTTCACTTTTGTGTTTAGACCTACCACTAGGTTGACATTTCGACTTTCGACTTCTGCAGTTACCATCGGGTTTTCATATAGCTTATGGCCTTGTGTCGTGAGTATCTTCCTATAAGGAAAACCTATAAAGCCACAAGGGCCCACGTATCCAGCACAGTGCGTTTCAGATCTGTGAAACAATATCAAGGCAAGGCTAAAAAAATTAAGCCCTGCCTGGTGACTATTGCATGTCTTTTAGCCAAGAAACGCACTGTACTTTCTGGATGCTTTTTGCTTTCGGTTTTTTGTTTGGTTTCTTGTCATTATCAGTTGCCTTGGAATTCTTTTTTAGCTAAACATGCTTCGAAATATTCTTCTCTCTTTTAACACACCTTTTTTTTTGTTATAACGTTTTCTTAAATTTGCTTATTTAATCCGTATAATTGCACTTTATCTTGTTTATTATTTTAGGTTTTTGATTTTTGTTTACCGCTGTTTTTCTGTTTCTTTTTACATCGATTTCTTAGATTTTTAAATGTTTTGCAAAATTGTATTTATAATTTCTTTTCTTTTTTATTTTAGTATTTATAATTTCCTCTTGTATAATTTTGCATTATAAAAGACTGCTTTGCCATTGTGATTTCGTATTTAATTTTGACTTGAACTGGTTAGTTTTCGAGTAAACATTATTCCAAAATATATACAACTATTTATGTTCTGAACAGTTTCATCCGTTGCTGTTTTTTAGTGATGTTTGCCGTAGCTTAAGAAATTCTTTTTGGCCAAATGCAGCTCAAAATCTTATGATTTCCATAGCTGCAGTTGACTTATGTAGCTTGTGCTTGGTTTAGTTTGGTTTCTATAATCCTCTGTTGTTGTTGTGATTGATTTGTATCCGATCTGTCTACAATTTCTTGACTTGGGTGTGTGTTGTTTCTCATCCATCTCTCCTTTCTCGGTTTTTATTTTTTTTTTGTCTTTTTGCCTAGCCAACATTATTTCAGAAAATGCTCTTCAAAATTTTGGATTATTAATCACAGATAGTGTGTCTAATATATATGTATGTATATAATAAATATGTATGTATACTTCAAATATAATTAAATTAGCAATAAATACTTTTTGATTTATATCCTTCCCTACTTTCCATATTCCTCTTTTCTTTTATATAATAAACAGTTTTTCTCAGAACTTTTTTCTGTATTATTTTGTTTCTTTTTTGTTTGTTATTCCAAATGCATAATTTAATAATTTTGTTTTTACAGTTTCTAGTTCCTAACTTTAGTTTTCGGCTTGATTTTGATACTAAACCACAACATTTATGCACATCGAATTTAATTTGGGATTTAAGCCAATAAATTGTTTTTCTTATCAAGTTTTTTTTGCATCGTGGAAAGTATAATAATATAATTTTGTTGAATATTAAAATGCCCTTAAATGATTTTCAACGATTTTCCACAATTTTCCTTGCCATACTTTTGGATTTCTTTCTTTTATTATAATTTACTAAATATTTTCAAATATGTGTTACCGACAATTCTTCCTTGTTTTCATTTTAAATATATTGTATATCGCTTTTGTATGATTTTTGTTTTTCTTTTTGTTTTTTTTGACACTTACTAGCTAGCACACAAAATATGTTTTTAGGTACATTTATATATTTTTTCTTCTATTTTTCATTTACGCAGACATTTAGTTAGTTGTTGTTGTTGTTTACCCATAAATAGAAAATTTCAAATTCAAACGAAATATATAGAGTTATAGAGATACGTCGAAAGGAGGGCCTAAAGTTCAGGGCAGGGGTCGAGGGCGGGGGGTTTTGTAACTGTGTAAATATGTTTTGCTCTCCTGTAAAAGAGGTGTGTTGTAGAGTGTATATAAGTACATTTAAATATATTTAGTTGCTCAAAATGATCATGTGTTTGGTTTGAGGTATACGCGTAGTGATGAAGACACACACATACATAAATATACAAATATATTTTATATAGTATATAGTAATATAAAGTCTTTTTTTTAATATATTTATGCTTTTTTTTGCTTTTGGTGGATAGGCGACGACTGTACATGAAATGTGTGTTCTCACAATAATTTCTTTCATTTACTTTTAAGCCAATATGTGAAATTTTTGTTTAATTTTTCGATATAAATTTCCATTTTAGCCTAAACACAATTTTTTTTTGTTGAATTTTATCCTTTTTTTTTATATAAACACCGAAACACTTTATAATTTTGCTTAATTTAGTTTAATGTGTGTGCAATTTTTAAAAAGAAAATATGAGTTGTTATTTTGGTAAGCGATTTTATAAGGGTGTTTTCTTAATTTTTTTTGTAATTTTGCTAAACAAAGGTAAATGGGGGAGTTGCTTTTGAAATTTTGTGATTTGATCTGCGTTTTGGGTATATTGTTTTTCTCGTTAATTATTATTTTGTGTGCTTTGTCCTAACGTTTCTCTTTCGCTTTGCTTACTAATTTATTTAATTTGTAAATGTGAAGGCAGCTTTGTTTATTGATTTCCGTTTTTTGTTTTCTTTTACTTTTTTCTCGTTTCTCTTTTTGTTGTATTTTTGTTTAACTTTTGTGAAATCATAAAGAATGTAGAATTTTTGTGGTTAATTTTCGTTTTTGTTTTGAATTTAGCTATTTCTTGCGTGTGTGTGGTGTTCCTTCTTTTGTAGTTGTAGAGTCTCTTGTTTTATTATTATTATTGCTGTTTGCTGGTTGTTGTTGTTATTGATCGGATATTGTAGATGTTGTTGTTGTTGCTGTTATTGCTGTTATTGCTGTTATGGTCTTGGTTTAGTTATTGTAGTTTGTTGGCTATATTACTCATTCTGTCTATGTCGAGGACGTCTGCACGGGTCCCATTGGCTGGCAAAATTCATAGAAAATTGTAGAAAAAAAATGTATATATATTTATAATATATATGGAACATAAGTACATTTAGATATTGCTTATGGAATGTGTGAAAATCGAAGGTCAAAGGCCAAAAGGCACAGCCATGCAGACGTCGTTTAAGTTGTTGGCTTGTAACTGCTTTGCTGTTGGCTATATTTCTGCTATTTATATTCCCATTGGACTGCTGGTTCTGCTCAATAAAAATATAAAATACTCGGATGTCTGGGAAACACTTGAAGAGATTTGAATTCTTTTGAAAATATGTTTAAAAGTGTGCTCTAAATATATTCTATTGCCTACTTTTGTTCACCTTTTCAAGAGAATTTTAATCTTTTAAATCAGGGATGCCGCAGAAATAGCTCTGGTTTTAAAATCCTTGGAAACTTTGCACAAAAGTATACTTTATAATTTTTGTAGCATACTTTTGGATACCACTTAAAAAGATTTTAAATCTTAAGCCATTTATTTGGCACCCCTGCATATATTTTACTTCAAGACATCCTCCTACTGATTCTAAACCAAAAATGCAATTTAACATAAAAATGCAAAATGAAAATGGTTCTCGGTTTTTGCTCAGTTGTTTTTTTTGGTCTTAAGGTTTTAAATTTGTTTAGTTTTTTTGTTTTTTTTTCTTTAGGTTTGTACAAGAGAATGCCTATTTGTCGATTGTCAAAACGAAACAAAAATATACATATTGCATGTATGTTTCTTTGTTTGTTTGTTGGTTGTTTTTTGTTTTTTGTTTTATGTAGTTGATTACACATTAACTAAGAGCTAGCGCACATTTACCACTCTTGCGTTTATATCCTATATATATTTCCATATAGTGCTTTGTATGGTACTATCAAAAAACGTGGCTTAATTTGGTTTAGTCCCTCCAATCCCCATACCAATACCGGTCTAGTTACCGTCTCCGATCCTAGAATCCTAGAAGCTGTAGTAGTGGGCGGCCAGCGGTGGCCAGGCGAACGCTGGATGATTCGTGGCCAACGGCGGCTGCTCCTATAACTGCTGCTGCTCCACCTGCTCGGCCTTGATCTGCGCCAGCTTCTCGTGCAGTATGGGACTGCCCGATGGGGCCATATCCGCCTCGGACTCGCACTTGATGTGACTGCCATTGAGATCCATTGTTGTTGTTTTGTGGTTTTGGTGGTGGTGGCCGCTCTCCGCGCTCTTTAGGCTACTGGCATCCGTCTCCGAGTCGCGCGACGTCATCCGGCTGCTCCGTCCATTGCCATTGGCAGTCACATTGGCCTGACCATTGCCGCTGGCCCCGAAGGAGGATGAGGAGGCGCTGCCCTTGTTCTTGTTGTGCGCCAGATCGCTGTTGTTGTTGTTGGCCGGTGTGTGTCTGCTGGAGTGCTCCTCGTCGCTGCTGCCGGCACTGTCGGCGCTCAGGCGCTCCCGCTTGATGTCCGCATAGTTGCCCAGCGGACTGCCCGATCTCTTGACGCTTTCCCCACTGGCACTGGAACAGGTGGCGGCATAGTCGTTGCTCCTTTGATTCGTGAACGGGAGCGGCGTCTTCTTCACCAGCAGCTGATCGAGCAGGGCATGACCGTGGCCATTGCCATTGCTACTTCCGTTTCCGGCAGCACTGCCATTGCCCGATGAGGACGATTCGCTGGACTGCAGCGTCTTGCGGATGATGCCATCGTACATATTCTCCGCCATTTCCAGGGCACTCTTCATCAGCCCATGGTGATTTCCCCCGGCTCCCTGTGGTGGCTGCTGCCTCCAGTCCAGGCCATAGGCATTCGTGGCATTTGGCTGGGGCCAGAACATGTTCGACTGGAACGGAAGCTGGTGAGGAGGACCCTCGAAGAGGGGGAGTTTCAGACCGTTGGGCGTGGCTGCCGCAGCAGCTGCCGCCGCAGCCGCCGCCGCAGTCGCTGCCGCCTGGCTGTTGTTCTTGAGGGCATTGCTCAGCTTGGAGCTGTGGTTGCCAGGCTTCAACTTGTCCAGGTGAATTTTGTTGGCTGGTCCCGTCAGGCCAACCAAATCCGGCTGCGGCTTGGGCTCTCGCTTGCGCGGCCGCATCAGATGACGCTCCTTGACCTTGTACTCCAGCGTGGAGTGGGGCACGCCATAGTAGCTACCGGCTCGATGGACCGACATTTCACCTCGTTGGACCGCCTTCACTGCCTCCACCAAACTGTCGCGATCGTAGTTCCTATATTTACCCCTCTTGGGCCGCGTGCCCTTGCCCGCCGCATCCTGGGCACTTAGCTGCTGCTGCTGCTGGAGGTGACTCAGGTGGCCGGAATGACCGGGGTGATGGTGCTGCTGCGACAGGAGATTGGGAGAGGCCCCGAATCGCGAGGTATCCGTGCCGCCAATGATCTTTGCCACCGATATGCTCGGCTTCTTGTAGCCCATAGAAGAGGAAGAGCCACCGCCGCCGCCGTTGTTGCTGCTGCAATCGCTGGCATTGCCATTCCTTAGGCTCTCTTGACCACTCTGCTCGTTGATCTGTCGCTGGATGTTGCTGGCCATCATCTTCTGTATGCTGGACGAGGATGAGGGCAGCAAACTGTTCCCGGCGGAGTAACCACCCTGGGCTACTGCCGCGGCCAGCATGGGTGAGGCGGAGTGGGGACTGCGGTTGCTGCCGTTCCTGTTGCTGCTGCAGTTGCTGTTATTGTTGTTGTTGTTGTTCAGCGAATGGTGACCCAGGCCCGGGGAGAGGCTGCTGCTGCTGGCCGGGCCGCTGACCTTGAAGGACGGAATCTTCAATATGGGATCCTCGCCCGCCTCGTTCGGATCCAGCGAGGAGTTCGTCTCCGGTGTTTCCGATTTGGGCAGGCGATGGCGAAAGGCGGCGGCCACGTGTTGCTGCTGTTGCTGCTGCTGCTGTTGAAGCAGCAACGAGGCACTACCGTTGCTCTCTTGACTGGCCAACAGCAGACTGAGCAGTGGCTCGGTCAACATCCCCCGACCCAGCAGACCTTTGAAGAAGTCACCAACCGTCTGCGATTCGTCCAGCTTGGGCATTGCCCCGATGCCAGCGGCCAGCATAAGGGTGTGCATCAGGACCTTGGCATCCAGCGGTATGGAGGGCAAGCCATCGGTATTAACACTGACATTCGCACCTCCGCCACCCGGAAGCCGTCCCAGCTTGGGAGATCCACCCCGATCAAGATCATCGCCCAGATCACTGCCATTGTGCTCTGACGACAGGTGACTCAGTTTTCGGAGGGCGAAATCAGCGGGATAACCCGGCGCCGGAGTAGACGCATTGCTGTCCACTTCACCTTCGCCATCATCGTTGGAGTCTTCGGGATCTGGCTCCTGTTGATCCAGCTGCTCCTGGTCGCTGTCCTGCTGCTGCTGTATCTTGTACAACCGATTGACCAGAATAGAGCGGGGCACATGATGCTGGCTGGCCGCCTTGCGGGTGCCCAGCTTGTTGGCCACCACATCCTGCAGGGCCCGGTTCAGGTCCTCCTCGCTGTACGACCGCCTTCCCGTGGGCGTTGGCGTGGCACAGGCTCTGTAAAAGAGTAAAAGGTAAAAGTAAAGTAAGTTATATGAAGTCTGAGTTATATATATTAAATTACTTAGCAAATCGAACTTCTTATCGAGCTAACTACAGAATAAGTTCCTATATCGTCGGCCTAAGACCCATTCTAAATTAATAATGATTGCTTTATGGCCAATTTATTAACGTCATTTCCCTCAGGTGCTGCGATAAGATACGATTTTCGCCGATTTCTGTTTGCATTTCCCTTAAATATATATAGCTCTGCCTCTCCCCTCTCTCTCCCTGGAACAAGTCAATCAACTTTTATCTGCCGGCAATTCTGAGTCCCCCAGTTCGAGTTCGGGTTGCAGGGTAATATTTTTTGGCAGCACCATCAAAGGACTTGACAGCCACTTCTTCCCTTTTTGGCTTAGTGGAAAGCACTCCTTTTTTTCGGCACTCGCATACATATACACAGGCACTCAGGAGGACTGACAATGAGTGCTCCTTAAATGTCTGCAGCAGGGCAACCAACAGGAAAAGACGACACTGCAGTGTCAAAGGCAAAGCCAAGGATGCTATACAATCCACCTTCTTTTTTTTTCACATTTTTGGTGGCCATTTTTTTTGGGTGCTGAGCCAGAGACAAAAGATGACAAGTCAGGGGGAGTCTGGCCAAGAAGGGTTCGAGTATGGGGCCAAATATGTTTTTGAAGTTCATTAGACGAATCCGAAAAAAAAGCGTAGGGAAAAAAAAGGAGAAGAACGAATGAACATTTTTCACTTAATGCCAACGCGAGCGTGAGTCCAAGCGCATTTCCTATGACTCTCCCCTCCTAGAACTCATCAGGAAAAGGCAACTTTTGTGTTCCGACAACAACAACAAGGTTGCACTGGAAAAGAATACTTTGATTATTTAAATTTTAATTTTAAAAAAATATTATATACAATCAACATGTTCCTGGCAACATTTGCTTATCAACATTTTATGTTGATAAGCCATGTGCTCTTGGAAAACAATTTAAAAAATGTGATTTTGCTATGTTTTTAAATTAATTGTTTTTTCTTTAAGCAAATTATAATTTATTTTACATTTTTATTTTTATTTTCAAACAAAAAGGTATATAAACCTTACCTTAGTTATTATATATTCAAAGTAACACTTTAAAAAGCTCATTATTTTAAGATTTTCCAGTGTCAATGACACATTTTTTATAACCAATCTTTGACTTTTAATTTTTCCGTGTGCTGCAGCTGCACGAAATATTTCTTTTCTTTTATGCGCAACCAGAAACGAGACGAGCTCGAGACCCTTTCTTTTTTCGTGGGCGGCTGGGGACATTGCACCGTGAAAAAGGGGGTAAGGGCAGGGGGATGCGAGTGAGGAGCCTGAGGAGGAGGGAAAACGCACAGCTTCTTTGGCACCCTTCGCTGAGGGCTGTGGCCCAGCGGGCGGTGGCGACGGCCCTGGCAAAAGTTGATGGCAAAGTCATAGCAACTTTTTTACTTTTTTTTTTTTGCCCATTTGTTACGGAGTCCTTGCGCGTCTGGAAAATGTCTGAAAATTGTGCAGACAACAAATAAAAAAAAAGGAAAAAAATATACACAAAAATGCAGGCTAGAGGAAGAACAAGAAAAAGCGAAGCGAAAGCGGCAGCAGGTGGCAGTGAATGTTAAGCTGTATGATAGCTCAAGGTTTTTTTTTCGGGACCTGTTCAGCAGGAGTAAGGCTAAGAGGCGGTAGGCGGTAGGCGTGGCCTCTGCTGACCGTAAGTGGATTGGGCTATGGGCGGTGATGGGCGGGCCACGTCATTAATGGCGACAGTTTTTCGCATTTTTGCTCATTTTTGCATATACAAAATAATTTTCCCCCAAAAAAAAAGAGGGAGGAGTGGCGAAAAAAATTTGCATAATTGCAGGGGGATTTCCTCACCAAGACCTCGTTGCAGATGCTGTAAAAAAACAGGAAGAACACTACAATAGAGTGGCAAGACTATAAGATACCCAGGTTAATGAGTTGAGCTGTTAAAGAAAAATCGAAGCATACCAGAGAGGGGGTTTCTTGGCGGGAAATCAGAGTAGGGAAGCATATCGAGGGTAAATATTCGATATAATGTATCGTTTTATTTTAAATAACTTCAGAAAATCGTTTTCTAAACTAAAAAAGGATGTAAGGATGCAAATTAAGATCACTAATAAAAAAGATTTATACAAGTAAAATCAAATTGCTTTTAAATTTCGATGGACAAACTGACAAGGATCGTTGATAATTGTATAAAAATAACATACAATTTGTAGGCTTCTTTATTTACGTTGCACGAATACAATATACCCTTGCCTACAGGAGGTATATTTGCAGGAAAAAAAAGGATGTCGCGCACAAAATAAATGAAAAATGTCATTTCAATGTCGTTTGGATTTTTTCGTTGGTGTCGTTTACCTTTTGGCTGCACTTCAATTGCAATTTGCCATTGCAACAGCTGCCTCTGCCTCGGCCACAGTTGGCGTCGCAGTCGGCTTCGGCAGCAGCAGCAGCAGTTGTTGTACAACATGCATGCATTTTTTGTTGCCGCCTTTGTTGCTTTTGTTGTATTTGCCGCTGCACACGCATGTGAAGAGCATTCATTTGCACCCAAAAAATAAGGAGAGAAAAAAAAAGGAAATTCAGAGCGAACGAACCTCAAACCTTCGCCAGCTTTTTTCCTCGTTTTTCCGTTGGCGTTGCAATTTTTCTGACATTTTGTTTTAATTTGTGGCAGCGGCAAAAGGGTTGATTTTTTGTGTGTTTTTTTTTTCGAGTGAGTGTGAGTGGATGTGTGTATGTGTGGTGTGCGTGTGTGCAGTTGTTGTTGTTGTTGTTGCAATTTTGACGCAACTGAAATGCATTTTTTGCACCGCTGTTGTTGTTTTATGCGCATATTGCATTTTTGTCGGTTCATCCCACACCTTTTGTATGCTTTTGCCCATATATAAACATACATATACTTTTATATACGTAAGTTTTATTCTCATAAAAAAATATAATTAAACAAAATAAAAAATAAACCAACCATTTCGATTTCAACTTTAATAATAATTATATTTGGCCAGGTAATTGTGCAAATACCTTGATTGAGGTGTGCGGTTGCAAGGCAGAGGTCAAGCCAACTGTCAAACGAAATTAAGGTGGAAAATAATGGATGGGAGGTTCTCATTAATTACAGCAAATTCAGGGGGTGGATTATAGCCAAGTTTCTGCTTTAATTGTTTAAAAATGCTTGTTATTATATCCTAAAGGAAATGGTTGAAGACTTTTGTATCAAATTATTTTAGAGGTTTGGAAAGAGGTTTATTTATAGGGCATCTGTTGTTGTTCTTGTGCATTTCTTAAGGTTAAATTTAAGTTTTCATAGCTTGATTTTCTTAAACTGAAGCATTGTTAGAAATTTAATTTAATTTAATTAATGCTCTTAGCTTTCGTTTCCCTGTATCTCACATGTGTGACTTAGCTTTCTGGCTTGCTTTGGTTAATTTTTTTAAGAGGTAATAAAATTTACAAGAAATCCCAGAACAAGTAGTTATTTTTTATTGGTTTTTCAATTAAAATATTCGGCTTCTCACAGCAATTCTTAATTTTGTGTGTGTCTCTCTCTCTTCCCATTGGGTTTGCGTGTTTGGTGGCCGCTAAATATATGCCCGTTGGGGCGCAAGGGAAGGGAGGATCATGCCTGGCATTTCGCTGGAGGGACGGAATTTGTGTGTGGGGTTAATGGTTAAGGGGGGTTAACGTAGGTTGGGGGGAGAGGAGCTGTAGGGAAAGAGTGGGTTGGGGCGGGAAGAGCAGGAAGCCGGCGGCGCACAATGCCGTCAACTGTCCCTCGTTCCAAGCTCGCTTTTTTTTTGTGTATATACACCCATGTGTGTGTGTGTGTGTTGACAACGTCGAATGCAATTTTGTTAAAAATGCATTAAGTGCATGTGAGTGTGTGTGTGTAGCTGTGTGGGGTGTGTGTGTGGGTATGAATGCAATTGCATGTTTGTTTTTGTTGCCAATGCAGCCTACACTTGATGCGTGCGCAGCGAATACCGCCACCCTCTGCCACCCCATAGCCTCCTACTACTCCCACTCCTCTTACCCCCACACACACACACACACACACGTATACTTATGCATACATCAACCCATACAAGATTCACACACACATATATTCATTGCAGTTGCATTTTTTCGGAAGATATGCACTCATTTTTTGTTCGACGTCGACGTCGCCGCCGCTGCTGCTGCTGCATTTTTGTATGCACTTACTTTAGGCCGCGCGCACACTACGAGCTGAAAGCGGAGCTGAGATAAGCGAGCTGATAATTTCAGTGCAAATTTCTAAGCTCAGCTCCGCTTTCAGTGTGCGCGCTCTCATACAAGTAGTGTGTTTGTTTCAGAGAGCTGATAAGCCGTCAGCCGTCAGCTCCGCTTTCAGCTCGTAGTGTGCGCGCGGCCTTACTTTTTGTTTCTATCTCGCTCATCCACTCACGCATATAACGGCAATCAGGCAGGTTCAAAAAATGCAAAAAAAATACAAATTAAAGGACTCAGGGATACCCTAGCAAATTAAAAAAGAATTATTTATTTTATATTGATACAAAAAAGATAAAGTAAAGATACATAAGCAAGGCAGTTATCTGAATAATTTGGTTTGGCTTTATATTTTCTCATTTACTATATATTTATCTATATATTTTGTAAAGAAATTAGCCTACAATTTTCAAAAATTATATTAACTTTAGTTCATTTACTTTAAATAATAAAAATAGTCGAAGACTGCATGAACTTCACTAGTTATAATAATCGAAATGATCAAGATAACTACTTTATAATAAAATCTAATACATATCTAGGTATGAACTAAATAATTACCCAAATTAATTTAAAATTTACTCAAGTTTTTCCCCTTTAAGCCAGGCAAACAGCATTTAACCTTTTGACCCCAAAATTAAAGGGTATTAAACCGAGCAAGACCCACCAAATCGAGCCAGCCCATCCAACACTCATTGAAATGACAAAAAATATGAGGCAAACAACAACGAAAAAAAAAAGTAAATGAGAATTGGGAGGGAAAAATTCAGGGAAAAATGCAGGGAAAATAAAATAATGAAAATGTTTTCGGTGGGGGCTGGAGGCTTTAAAAAATTGCTGCCCTGCAACAATAACAATTGCAATGGGCAGTGCACGCATTAACCTTTTTTATATCATCATTGTTATTGTTGTTGTTGTACCTTATATATTTCTCTCCTGTTTTTTTTTTGCATTTTTTTTATTGTTGTGTATTTTTGGGGCCAAACGCAGCGAACAGCGCTGCCAACGTCGACGTCGTCACTCTTTTTGCCAGTTATTACGTTCGCAATCTCTCTCGGTATTTTCTTTTTTTTTCGGTGTCGGTGTGTGTGTGCGTGGGGAGAATTTTTCGTAAACGAAAAATAATGAATATATACCCAGCGACAATCCACCGCTAGACCCCCAACCCCCTGGGCCCTGGGCCCATAGCCGAAAGTGCATAGAAAAAAGTAGCAAAGAAGAAAGACCAAAAAATGCGGAAAAACACGGAGAAATACAGAGAGAAAAATAGGGGTATTAAATTATAATTACTGGGTAGAGATTACAAGTGATTTTTAATATTTTTTCAGTTAGCAAACTGTTGAAATGTTATTTAAAAAATATTTATTAAAAATTTTTATAGAGTATTTTTGCAAGTCAATTTTACTGATCGATTGTTTATATAAAAATACTAAGGAATTTGTATAACGTTGTTAAAAATATATATAATTTAGCTTTTATTAAATTAAAAAATAAGTGTTTATATTTATATTAAGTAAGCCTAAAGTCTAAACTCCAAATATTCTTCTCATAAGTTAAAATCCATTAAAACCTTATTAAAGTTACATAATAAGCCTGCCTAAAATACTAATTAATTGAACATTTATGAAAATTAGTTATTTTTTCTTTCTAAAGTCTCCCAGTGCACACTCATACATCTACAAAAAACACACACACACACAGAGAAAGTAAAACGCAGCGTGCAAAAAAAAGCGATCGATATGATGCACTCATTTTTGTCTGCTGCGCTGGGCGACGTCGGCGTCGGCGTTGCCGTCGCTGCTTCTGCTGCTTCGAGGAGCAACGTCTCATCATCCTCAGCAGTAGCCGGAAAAAAATCTGTAATAATAAACGCTCGACGAAAAAAAAAACTCCAAAAATTGCAGCGTCAGTGGCTTTTGTGCTTCAAGTGGTTTTTGATGGTCTGGGGGAAGCCCGAGGGAGGGGGTGTCTTGCGGGTGGTGTGAGGCAGAGCTACCCGGTCATCTAGTTGGCCCCCATTGAGGGAACACTTTTGGCCGATCGTTGTCTCTGTTTGGCATTTAAATTCAAGCGAAAATTAATTTATAAGCCTAGCTCGCTATGACTTATTTATTTGTATTTTATTTAATAAGCTAGAATATGTCATTTGTTGACAACCAAATAGCATAATTAATCAAGCAAATTGTTATTTATAGAAAAATGTTGATGGCTTTAATTGATTTCAATTAAATAAACCATAATTTCCCAAAAATTGATGGCCAAAACCAGCACAATAATTAATTGCTTCAAAATAAAAGTTGGCAAAAATCAATTAATTTGCTGATTTTCTAGTTGAATAAATATAAAATATTAAATTAATTTCATTTTATATAAAAATAATCTGATCAGGGATATGTTTAAACTTTTAATTAATAAAATATTTGCTTAATTTTCTCTTTACGAGAGTTTACTGTCTGCTATTTCTTATGCTTCCTGTCTTGTTTTTTTCTTCTCTAAGCCAGACTTGCCATATCCCTATCGCTCCTTTTCTTACTTCCTTCACCCTTTATGTATTCATGGTTTCCTTCTTCTCTTTTTTTTTTGTTTTTTTGTACATTTTTTGACACATCTTTCTTGGCTTTTTTTGTGTGTGACAATTAAAATAGGTGTACGAGATGGTGCATGGCGACGATGGCGGCTGCTAACAAACACTTGGCCATGCTTTAGACAATAGACAAGGACTCGTGCTTTGCGGCTCAAGTGGCAGCCACCATCGTTGCCACAGTCACAAAAAAATATATAAAAAAATAGGAAAATAAAGGAAAGGGATTCAAACGAGAACCGCAAACAACAAAAAAGTACCAACCGAAAAAAGTAATGACAAAAATTGTGGGAAGTGCTTGGAAAATTATGCACACGACACCCACGTACAAATACCGGTTGTCTGAAGTGCAGACTCACATATATATATATACATACCAAAGTAATAATAAAAGGTGCTCCTGAACATTTTAGAGTAATTAAAAAAATAGCAGGTAAGGACGACAAAAAAAAGAACCAAAAAAACGAAAAAAGATTGCTTAAGGAGTTGGGATGCAAGAATACATAAATCCAGCATTCTTTTTCCTTCTCGCTGCATATATAATCTTTTCCCTTTTTTTTGGAAAAATTTCATGTAAATTTATGCGCCTGCCCACCTGCCCACCTGCCTAACGCTGGTAATTAAGCATGACTGCAACGGGGCGTATGTGTAATTTTCGGCATCGTTTCATAAACCACACACACACACCCACCCTTGGCTATAATTGCACAATTTTTACATAGGCTCAGCAACAATAAAGCCACACAGCATCAGTGCTCGTTTTGGGGGTGTGAGTTGGGGGCAGCCCCGTTAAGTATGCTACAATAAGTGCAGTGTCAGAGGCGGCGGGCCAGCGCCCAAAGTGCAATTATCTCATGTATTGTCTGGCACACGATTCGGTGGGTTTTTTTCCAGCTTTTTTTGGTGAATATAATACCCTAGATTCGAGGGGGTTCTGTGAATATTTCATATGGTTTGTCATGGTAAAATGTATGGAGAAATTTGATGAATTTCTTTTTCTAAGTTAGGAGGTTGATATGTTGACAATTTATATTAAATATTTTACTATTTACTATTTTTATTAATTGAAAAATGTACAACTCATCTTTTCCTTCAGATATTTCTTTTAGATTTCATTAGAAACATTATTTTAATAACTTAACCTTATCCCTTTTTTAAAATCCTTAAAAAATCTCCATAAAGAGCATCAGACAGTCGCTTAACTCTCCACAAATATAGCTTAATTTCCACCTATTTTTCTCCCTTTTGGGTTTTACATGAATTTCCGCATTTTTTCTTTCTTTTTTTTATGTATTGTTCCGGGGTTTTTATAATTTTTTTTTCGGCGTTTGCGCAGATTGCCAGATTTATATTGAATACATGCTTATATACATGGGTATTTATGTGGTGCTGCTGCTGCAGCTATAGATGCAGCACCCCCACCCTGGCTAGCAATTTGGGCACACTCACCTGCTGGACTTGACATCGCCGCTAATCGATGAGTTCGGCGAGGGTTTGCTGCTAAGATCGAGCGGTGCATCGGCACTGGGACTGCTTGTATCTTTGAGTGCGGGACTGATTGCGGCTGCAGATACTTCTGAGGTAGTTGGCGTTACCGAACTAGCGATCTGTTGCTGTTGCTGCTGCTGCTGTTGATGCTGCTGCAGCGAGTTGATCAAGTTAAAGTCCGCGAGCAGCGAGAACTGCGCCAGCTGTGCGGCCATTGAGTCCATCGATGTCATCTTGGCTGCCCGCTGGGTCAGCAGCTTGTACAGTTCCAGGGAATTAGCGGGTGTTGCTGCTGATGCAGTTGCAGTTGCAGCAGCAATGTTGTGTGCCTTGCTGCAGTTGCTACTGCTGTTGTTGTTGCTGTTTTGGTGGGGCAGTGATGCGCTCGAGTTGCTGTCACTGTCGAGCTGCTGGGCGAAAAGTTGAGTATAAAGTTAGACTTTCTCAATAAATTCTCTAATGAATATTTAATCTTAGTGTAAACCCACCTGATGAATGTGGCTATTACTATTATAGCTGTTTATGTTAGCTACTGTTGCTGCTGTTTCGGCCACCAAATCGCCTTGGGCATTCACCGTTAGCAGGCGACCGTTAACACAGAAATTGCACTTGGCCGACGGTCTCCAATCGTTGGGTTCTGGCGGTGGTGATGGTGTACTGGTGGCTGTCACTGTGGAACCAGGTGTCGGAGTACGTGATGAATCGTGTGATGTTTGGTTGTTTTCTATGAATCAAATATTTGAATACATAAATAAATAAGAAGAAGTTATAAGAAATCCTATTATATCTTACCAAAATCTTCCTCAAGCTGGCTATGATACTGCTCTAAACGGTGGTGACTTTCTGTCTTAAAGTGGTCCTTGCTGCTGCTGTGGTTGTATTGCGGTGGCTCGTCCTCGGAACCGGAAACTATTGCTATGGGCTGTTGCTCCTCGATATTCAAGTGGCTGCGCGTCAGTTGCTCTTGGTAGTGTTTCCATTGCCTGCGACCCATAAATTCCTCAGCAACGCGTTCTAAGCCTACAAATTTAAGTAAAGGAAAAACGAAATTATTATATAAAATATTAGAGAAATTAATAAAATATTCGTTTAATTAAATACTAAAGATTTAAGCTTATAAAACTTGAAAGAACAATAGAAAGAAGTCAACGTATAGCTAGCCTGCATTAATTATTTACTCTCAAAAATAGTTCCAGAGCAGTTCTAGAATGTTATGCCAATTGCATGGCTTAATAAACTATAATTTACCTAGTGGTGGCAATTAATAAACCACTTTTTTCTTCATTTTTATTTTCTGCGCTGTTATTCAATTTCGCCTGGGAATTTGAGCAGACAGAAATTACTTAATTGAAATGCAAACCATTTAAATATAGTAGAAGAAAAAGGCTAGGAAAAATTCTGAGAGAGAAAAGAAATGCTAAACCTATACTTAGAAGCAGCACACGCTGCGTATGCGTAATTATTGAATACGAAATGTGTGTTTGCGAGTGGAAAATTGATAGATTTGTGTGTTTATTTGCTTGGGAGGCCTTCACCAACAGCAGCAGCTGTGGTATATTCGTCCAACTCTAATTGCCACACAAAAGTTATGCAATTTAATGCAAAATGCATGGTCAGGAAGGGGGAGGAGGCCGGAAAGGCAAGAGGAAGTGGAGCTAACCCCGCCACTTGAAGGGTCAGGCATGCGTGGCTCAAAAGGAAAAGTTTTGCGCATATGGCAAAAGGCTACGCGTCAACTCACACGAAATGCGAATTAAGAAGAAGAAGGCGGGCTAAAAAAAAAAATTAAATATATACATATACATATGCGAAGCCAAATAAAATAAGGTAGACGTGGACATGTAGGGCTGGGGAATCCCCTTAGCATTTTGTAGCATTTTTACAGCCAAAAAATGCAGTAAAAAGGCGGCATATATTTTGCCAAGTTCCGGAAGTTGGCGGGCGGCAACGACAGCGACGGCGTTCGTCGTCGCGTTGGGGAATTCTGGCGCCCCATGTCCTTGCGGCTGAACCGTCGTCCTGATTGCGCACAAGTGCGTGTGTTCGGTGCGTGCGCCTGGGAATGGCAACTTGGGGCTGAAGTGGAGCAGCAGGAGCTGGAGCAGGAGCAGGAGCAGGCACAGGTGCAATACGAGGAGCAGGAGCTGGAGAGGCAGACGCACTGCAGCTGCTCATTCCGGCGCAAAAGTGGAGCGGCATGTTCAAACTTTTCGCAGTGTAAAAATTGCATTGCAACTGCAGTTTTTTAAGCGCTCAAATAAACAGGGTCGTCGTCGTCGACGTAGTCGTCGTTGTTGTCGTTGTTGTGCTAGCGCTTCGGGGGTTGCGACGCCAACGTCAACGTTGCCACCGCTTTTTCCCCGCCTTCCTGCATTTCTCCTGGCTTTCCTGCTTTTCTCCCGCCCTTCCACCTTCTGCACGCACCAAAAAAAGGCGAAAAAACGAGGTGAATGCACGCACGGAACGTACAAAACACAAACTTTAAAATGCAACCAGTCCACGAGACACACGCCTGCATTTTGTCGTTAAAAAATGCAGGGCACATGAAGTCTGGCTCAGCACGAAAAATAAATGCTCTTCATGAATTTTGGATTTGTTTAACAATGTGTTATTAAAAATTAACAAAAGGTATTTCATTAAACTATTGAAATGAATTTAGTTATTAGAACTTTGTTAAATTTACAATGTTTAGGTTTTCTGCCTTGGAATTAATTAAAAATAAAATTAAGACAAATATCTATTTGATTTTTAAAGGCTCCTTATAGACCTAAATAACTAAATTATTGTTTTGTTTATATAATTTCCATGAAATTTATCATTAAAGTAGGTCTCTCTGTTAGCTTTCTTTAACTTAAGCTGAGACTTTTCCTTCTTTTAGATATGTATATATTCCCAAGGACTCCCCTATGGCTGTATCAATTAGCCGCGGCTGATCCGATCCACTCCCCTTTCCCACCTATACTTAACATCACGTGTTATTCCCAATTCATTACAAAACCAGCTACAAATTGCAGTCGGCCATCTGCGGACGAAGGGTGCGTGTGCCAAGGAAACCCTCTACGCACATGGAAAATATTTCGCCGGGGGTTCTGCCTCTGCTGCTGCTTCTGGGTCTGCCAGATGCACTCATACACACACTCATACACACAATGCAACGCACGCAATGTCTGTTTTGTCTCTGGCGTGTGCCAGTGTATGTGTATGTGTATGTGTGAGAGTTTGTTTTGTGCCTGTGGTCGGGGCGACACACATTGCGTATACGCAATGTGAAGATGACGACGTCGACGGCCGCAAGGCGGGATTTCAATGCTTTCGGGTTCTGTTTCTAGGTTTGGGTTTGGGTTTCGAGGTTCTGTTTCTGTTTCTGGGCATGCAACCAGTTCTGGTTCTGGGTTCTTGAGCTGTGGATGGGTCTGGATGGGGGCCATCATGGCCTGTCTGCCGGCGTTCACATTATGCCAAGCAAGCAGAGCGCCAGAATGTATGCTAAATAGAATTTTTTCTCGCTATTCGCGAAAATACAGTGATAACTGAGAGTTAAGGGAAGACTTGAGGGTTATTTTGTATGCTTTGTCTTTTATAAGATTTTTGTTTTAAGATTGAAAACTTTAAGGAAGGTTAAGAAAAAGGGGTTTCTCTTTAGCTTGGCTTAGTTCTGTGTGTAAAAACGTAACTTTAAGTTGTACATGTAAAATTAAGATATTCCTTAAGTTGTATTTAATGTTTAAATATTTTATTTTCTATATAGATTTCTTTAATATCAAAACTTCATTTGGTAAAAATATTTTTTGAGACTTTCCTGTACTTGGAAAATAGCAGAAAAATGGGTTTATGTCGTCGGCTTAGACTATGTCGATGGGCGGGTGTCCTATGACCTATGACTATGTCTAAGTGTGCGTGTGTTTGTGTGTTTGAATAGTTGCAGAACGAGAGAAAGAGAAAGAGAGAGAGAGTTTGCCATTCAAGGCAACGCAACGTGACACGTCAGGTGGGCTGGCTTTTTAGGGGGCTCGCGATATCAGTTCCCGGAGAGGAACGAGGACAGGTAAGTCTGCCCATCCTGTCAGCCTGTCGGTCTGTCTGTCTGTTTGTTTGCTCTAGGGTCGCTGCGGTGCGGTGCCCTAAAACCAACTAACAGACAAACAAAAACGAAAGTGCGTTTAATCAAAGTTAGCTATTAAAGCCAAATGGCCAAACTAATTGTGACCCGCCGCCGCCATGGGGTCGTATGATTTATATGCATTTTGTGGGTATAGTGTTTTGTTTTATTTCTCAAAAAAATAAAGGGGAAAAAAACAAACTGAAGCAATTAAACACGGCAACTCATTTACAAACACATACATTTAACGAAATGCAAATGGCATGCGCCATGAGAGAGACAACGCATGAAAAGTGGCAAAAGAAATGGGAAACAACAACAGCAACTACAGCAAAAAAAAAACATCATACGAAAAAATGCAATTATCGATTAATGTACCACATTATATGGCTCATATATATGTATATAGAGATGCATATATACAGGGAAGGGGCCTGCCACAGCGTGCGTGTCTGTGTAAGTAGATAAGCCCTTATGTATACATGCCACTTATATATACATACACCAGGCATCCGTAGATATGTTTGGCCAGAAGTCATTAAAAAATTGTTGTTTTTTCTCCCGGCCAGGGCTCATTGAGTTTTATTCAATTCTCATCCTTAAAATTTTACAATATATTTTCCACGCAGGCGGCTGTCAAGTCGTTTACATAAGCAAATTACAGTAACGGGGCGGTGTACATAATGTATATCCTGCGAATACATAATTGTCTCACTATTGTTCCGAGTTGTCATTTGCATTGAAAGATATTTTATATGTATTTCATTTTTCGAGCTGCCTTCCCTCAGACCACCTTCCTTTCCTGTCTTCCCTTCGCTGACACACTGAAGACATGAACAGCAGAGAAAACAACGGCAATTTGACATTTTCCTGCAGTTTTTTGCCTGCGTTTCAGTTTTCAGTTTTTGGCGTAATACGTGCCGTAATCAAATGTCAAATGTTGCCGTCGGCCTTGGTTGCGAATACGTAATATTACGTATACGCATTGTAATTTTGTTGCCCATAAATACTGCATTAGATGAACACCGGAAGGTGTTGGCCCACATGGCCTGATTCACAGATAATTAGATTCTAACCGCGCGTGGAATGTACATATATATATTTATATAGGTAGTTCAATTGGAAAATAAACAAAAAAAAATAGAAAATCAATTGTTATTTTCTTTCAAAAAAAAACAAGAAGACAGACTGGTTAAGTCTGAAAGGATTAAGAAAGAGGTCAAGCTATGGAAAGTTTCTTATAATTTTCTTATTTTTCTCTTATTAAACTTTATAAATAAATAAATAATATTCAAATATTTTTTACTATTAAACATACATTTTTATTCCTTTTAGAAGCCTATTTTCCCTAGCTTTTAAAATATATATTTTGAACCCAAAAGAAATGCCCACTAAAAATTCCTTAATTAGAAATTCAACATATTGTGGTTATTTTTGTGGCCACACGCCATCGTATTTTGCATAACATTTTGAGTAATGTCTAATGTCAACGTACTCTCCCAACCAGGCCCAGAGGGTAAGAGGGATGGCCAACTGGTTTTCCACCAGAAAAAGGCGAGGGAGGAAAAGGTAGCTTTGGCAGGAACAGCTAGGAAGCCGGCCGGCGTCACATGTCCTGCCGCAACAACAAATTGGTTGGAGCTCGTAGCAAGGACAAAGGGAGAAGCCAAAAGTGCGGCTAAGAAATGAGTTTGGCTAAATCTGAACAAAAAATACATAAAAAACTGGCAGCAGCAATGTGTAAAAAAATTAAAAGGGAAAAGCGAGGGAGTACAGGGAGAAAAAATATAGAAATACACAAAAAAGGATATAAATATTTTAAAAATGATATTTAAAAATATTATTTATAAATAATATTTATAGAAATAATGTAGAAATAAAACTGAATGCTTAATAAAAACTTAAAAAAAAAATAGTTCTA